GTGGTCCAAAATTACTCCAGATCGTTGTGCAGGTCTGATCTGCAACTACAGGAAATGTTTGGTTGAGGTTATTGCTGCCAAAGGAGGGTCAACCAGTTATTAAGTCCAACGGTTCACATACTTTTTCCTCCCTGCACTGTGAATGTTTACATGTTATGTTCAATTAAACCATGGCAACATGTAATGTTTGTGTATTATTTCAGCAGACTGTGTTTTTCTATTGTTGTGACTTAGACGACGTTCAGAGCACATTTTATGACCAATTCATGCAAAACTCCGCGTTATCCCAAGGGGTTCACATACTTTTTCTTGCAACTGTATTTGAGTTAATTTTTCTTTTTTAGTGAAAGCTCTTACTAAACTTAATTTGGAAGGCTCAAAGGTAAGAAATGGATAAAAAGAGACTGTTCAGGAACATAAGATGGCATAATTTAAACATGGAAAAAAACCCATAATGGTATCAATGAATATTTAGAATTTCAATTTCAGGTTACTATAACTTTGTGGATATTGGCATAGTAAATTTTTGTATGATTAACAAGACTCTTTGCAAAGCTGCTATTAACATGCTTATCAGAAGTGACATTATTTCTTCTAAAATAAAATTTGAATAGTTTTTTAAAAGCAATTTAAAATCATTGGGGAAAATCAAATCTTCTTCCTTTTATCTTAATGACTGTGACTACTAATGTCTAATAAGTTAATATAAAGTAAGGTCTCTTCCAAGTACCATATGAAATATTTGCTATTACAATATGGCAACTCTCTAAGAAGGATATTGCAATAAAACCTGCAGGATTTTAAAAATAATTTGTTAAAGTGATGAGGTATTTGTAGCTCTTTTACAGAAACTAGGAACATTCAGTCATTGCGGGGTGATTAGGAATATTAATTTGTTAAAGTGGTTAGAGATATTAGTAGTTCTGCAGAAACTTGAAATATTTAATCATTTATGTAACTAGAAATGTGGAAGTGGAAAAATGTTGTCATTTAACTATTTGACCTTTAGTAATGTTATTAATTAAAGAATGAAAACTGACCAGTACTGTATAACATTTGTCATATATCATCATGTATGGTAAACAGGTGGATTTTTAGTATTTCAGTCCGATTCATCCCCTTTTTACTATTCTAATGGCGAATAATACTATTCCAGTGATGGCGAACCTTTTAGAGACCGAGTGCCCCAAAACTGGCCCGCCCCCTGCTCTGCCCTCCGCTCCGCCCGCCCGGCCACTCACCACAGATCGCCCAGGCAGCGTTGCAGCGCCATGGCCATGTTCTCCGCCTGCACCCTGCAGCATCATCTTCACGTCATGGGGCGAGAGGGCAGAGTCTTGCCCCTGCTGCCTGGCTGCCATGTGCTTGGCTGCGCTGCTCCGCATGGATCGCGTCTGGGGGAGCCTCTCCGGGCAGGCTGCTGGTGAGAGGGGGTTGCAGGATGAAGCGGGGCTGCGGCAACGGCGTGCCTGCCCACAGAGAGGGCTCCGAGTACCACCTCTGGCACGCGTGCCATAGGTTCGCCACCACTGATATATTCTATATTATTAGAATAGATAGAATTAGAATTAGAGTATATAAATTGTGTGTGTGTGAATATATTAGAATATTCATATGAAGACACATCAGAGTTCTTTATCCATTTAAATGCTATCATCTTTGTGGCAACAAGCTTCTGTTAGCTTGGGTCTAGTGTATTTATAGCCCCAAGAAACCTACCCTGAAGCTGAGTTATTGTTGTGAAGGACGGATCAATGGAGATGTCAATACAAAGAATTATTTTCAAGCTTTTAAAATAACATTTTCATTATTTAAAATCAGAACACAAAAGTCTATTTTAAAATAGTTTCAGACACATATTAAAATGATGAAATCATCTTTATTTCAGCACTTTGACAAAATAACCATAAATTCCAAAAGTTCTACCTGTACAAAAATAGGTCTCTAGAAGTGATATTTCTCTCTGCGATGCATTAGCAAATAGAATAAAATTGTGAAAAGTCCTTCACTTAGACCCTATTGGGGGGAAAAGTTGTGCTCCTATGCATTCAGTAACCTCAATACTTAAAACGTTTCACCCTCTCACCCATTTGATAAATACACACTTTAATAATTTAAGTGTTTAAATTAGCATTCCACAAATATACATGAGATTTAATAATCAGGCTCAAACAACCACAAAGAGTGCCTATATACATAAGTTCTAATCTTTGCGTGGTGCTAGCAAGGTGAGCTGCATACAATCATTGAACTGTGTTCATGTTGGTCCCACAACGTACAAAAGCACAGCAGCCAAATAATTCGCAGAAGGCATTTCATTTGATGTTACTATCGGTGGCAAAAATATTTCAAGGATTATCTTCGGAGAGCAGAATGCAGCTGAGTTTGTGAAGCAGATGCTGTGGGGCAAAAAGACAAATATTCAGAATCTTGTACGATCAACATAACCAGCAAAAGCAGCAATACAGGTAGTCCTCAACTTAACGATCACAAATTTAGCCCAACATTTCTGTTGCTAAGTAAGACAGTTAAGTTTGCCCTATTTTATGACCTTTCTTGCCATAGTTATTAAGTGAATCACTGCAGTTAAATTAGTAACATGGTTGTTAAGTGAATCTGGCTTCCTTATTGACTTTGCTTGCCAGAAAATTTTAAAAGGTGATCACATGACTGGGACACTGCAACCATCATAACATGAATCAGTTGACAAGCATCCAAATTTTGATCACATGACCATGGGGAAGCTGCAACAGTTGTAAATGTGAAAAATGATCAAGTCACTTTTTTCAGTGCTGCTGTAACTTCGAACAGTCCCTAAATTGTAAGTCAAGGACTACATGTACTATAGTAGAACAATGTGAATCATAGACCAGGAAACAGCAACTAAAAGAACAATGATATCTACCTGGCTGTACGTTGCCAAGTCGTCTCTGTAGGGACTCCAGACGATTAATATAATCTGTTAAAGCTCTATCAGGATCATAATTCTGCAGCTGAGAACATGCAAGGGAAACTGGGCTGAAATCAGTATGGATGCCCTGATACCTTAGATATAAAATAGAAACAGATAAAAATGTTAATGAAACAGACTGTTGTAAAATAACTGACAGTTTACCAATACTGAAAATAACCCAATTTTCTAGATATTAGGAAAGTAAATATATTGTATACTGTAATGCTCTGAAGTCACACAATCTATCAATTTAAACCTACCAAGTATTTTTCCTGTCTATTAACTTTAAACAAACCCTTACTTGGCCTCACTGATACGCATCTTTAAAAAGAGCTTTGCAATTAAAGATTCAACAAAGGAAATGCAGGCAGGTTACTTTAAAAAGTAGTCTACAATTATTTCAGTTGCACTTGATATACGTATTATTTGAAGTTCTTCAATCTATTTGTTGACTAGCCACAGAGATTTTCAACTGATAAATATACTAACAACGTAAAAGTTTCCCTGTCAGTCATGTCTAACTCTCTAGGGCAGTGATGGCGAACCTTTTAGAGACCGAGTGCCCAAACTGCAACCCAAAACCCACTTATGCATCGTCGGATGCCGGGTGGGTGTGGCCCATTGGGTGGGTGTGGCCCATTGGGTGGGCGTGGCTGTGGTGGTAACAGCAGATTGAGTGGGACTAAAAAGTTGAATCAAATCAATTCCAACTTTGCAAGATCTTTTTTTCCGCAAGAAGTTGAAATTGACTGATTGATCCTTTTTTTTTTTGTACACGGCGGTGGCGGCCTAAAGCGAAAGGTTTTATAAAACCCAGCTGAAGGCCCAGGACTGGAGTGACAATGTGCGTGCCCACAGAGAGGGCTCTGAGTGCCGCCTCTGGCACCTGTGCCATAGGTTCACCACCACTGCTCTAGGGCATGGTGCTTATTTCTGTTTCTTGGCTGATGTAGCCAGTATTGTCCAAAGACAATTTTGGTGGTCATCTGGCCAGCATGGCTATACACCAAAGCCACATAGAATGTTGTTTCCTTCCCACTGAAGTGGTACCTATTGATCTACTTGAATTTGCATGCTTTTAAACTAGTAAGCGGGCAGGAGCTGGGGCAAATAATGGGAACTTATCCCATTGTGCAGAGCTTAGGTCTTGAACCAGGCTGTCAGCGCTCTAGCTGACAAGCTCAGAGTCTTTAACCACTGAGCTATTGCATCCCTAAAATACCCCAACATAGCATCTCCGTAGTTTAGTACTATTCACTTAATATATTTTGTCAAGACAGTATTATTTTAAAAAGTTTCCAATATTTAAAAGTACTCCAAATAACTAATGCTTCTGATGAAAGGGTTTCTCTACATAGACAAAACAAAGAGTTGTGCTGATTTAGTTCCTTGGTTGCAGCTCCTTTTGCTGAGTTATATATGTCTATGAAGAATTCCCCAATCTTCAGAAACTATTTTTAATAACGCAAAATAAGATAAAAGTTGGAGAACATTTTAGCATACAAGAATTCTCCCACTATAAATTAATGGAATAGTAGAATATTTGATCCAATCCAGCACAGGCCTGAGATGTATATGGTCTGTAATGGGAAAAAGGATACACTTTTCAAGTTCAAGTTACAACAATTACTTCACAAAACAATAAAAACCATCATTGAATACTATGATGAGTTACAAAGATTCACATCAAAACATTTCTAGCATTCAGTTTCCAGAGTCAAATATGTGTATCTGGAGAGCTAATAAAACAATAATCATGATCAAACAATAATTGTTTTGTCAACAGCATTTCATATTCAGAAGGTGTGTATATGCTCTTTGAAATGCATATATGCAGCATATATCAATATTTACCTATGCTGATAAGAAAAAGGAGATCTGAGAGATTCCAGCTCTGATCTGGATCTATAAGAAGCAGCTCTGTGTTCTCCACAGAGTTCCAGACTACCAGAAAATGAATCAGACCGTAACTCGTTACCTACACAAAATACAAAAATAAGCTTATTTTAGAACTCAGGCAGTTTTCTTTAATATTTGGCAGACTAAGTCATAAACTATACTGCCTTCATGTATGATGAAGCCATGAGAAGTTTTAGGAACCAGTAAAATATGTATTTGTTTAATAACCAATAACTGAAAGCAGAATTGAAGTGCAATATCTAGGCTTTTCTTTGGCTTAAGAGCCTATAAACAGTCTGACAACTTCTCAATTTTTTGGGGGGAAAGCTTTTGGCATAGATACAAGAATAATGAGAGTACAAGATTTTATTAAGTCATGCCTCCAATGACTACTACTGTTAGCCAAATATATGTTTTGAAATTTCTTTAGCATTTTGGAAAGAATAAACATACAGTAGATAACTTTTAACCAAGTAGCAATAGATATTATTTTTATAACCATACAATATAGAACAATAAATATTATAAAATTCAATTAAAATTAATTAAAACTGAGTCTTAAATGCTTGCTATTTCCTGGTGAAATTACCTCTGGTAATACTATATGAAACAAGGAATATGTGATTATATTTCACTCTTCTTGTTCAGGAGAGATCTGAAACTGAACCTTACAAAAGATATCATGTTCTTATATACAGGTAGCCCTTGACGTACGACCACAATTGAGCCCAAAGTTTCTGTTGCCAAGTGAGACATTTGTTAAGTGAATTTTTCTCCATTTTACGAACTTTCTTGCCATAGCTGTTAAGTGAATCACTGTAGTTGTTAACTTAGTAATATGGTTAAGTGAATCTGACTTCCCACTGACTTTGCTTGATGGAAGGTCACAAAAGGTGATCACATGATCCCGGGACACTGCAACTGTCATAAATACATGCTAGTTGTCAAGCATCTGAATTTTGATCACATGACCAGGGTGATATTGCAATGGTCGTAAGTGTGAAAAACAGTCATGCACTTTTTTCAATGCCATTCTAACTTCGAACAAACTAAACAAACTGTTGTAAGTTGAGGACTACCTGTACTGAAATTGAATGGCCATATCCAAATGCTAATTGCCCAATGAATGCATTGTTTAGATATTTATGTATTTCTGTTAATTCTCTAATAATTCTTGGGAAGCATCTATTAGATTGTGCTAAGTTAAGTTATACGTGGAACAAGGTAATAGATATTTACACAAAATTCTTAAGAGAAGTAACACAAATTTATAAGTATCTACATTATTTAAACAGGAAGGAAGGGTGTTAACTTTTGCCTTCATGATAGTTGGTGATCAGCTGTAGACACTCCTCTCTATAAAACACATAAGCAATACATAATATATAACAGTGATGGCGAACCTTTTAGAGACTGAGTGCCCAAACTGCAACCCAAAACCCACTTATGTATTGTCAGGTGCCGGGTGGGCGTGGCCCATTGGGTGGGTGTGGCCCATTGGGTGAGTGTGGCCCATTGGGTGAGTGTGGCTGCGGTGGTAACAGCAGACTGGGTGGGACTAAAAAATTCAATCAATCAATTCCAACTTTGCAAAATCTTTTTTTTCCCGCGAGAAGTTAAAATTGACTGATTGATTGAACCTTTTTTTTTGTACAGGGCGGCGGAGGCCTAAAGCAAAAAGGTTTTATAAAACCTAGGCCTAGGGTGATGGCACGCGTGCCCACAGAGAGGGCTCTGAGTGCCGCCTCTGGCACCCGTGCCATAGGTTCGCCACCACTGATATATAATATCTGTTGCTAAGTTCAGTTCTAGATCTGCTTTGTAAAAACTAGTAGCATGACTAGCAAATATTCATTGTCTCACATGTTGTCATTCTCGTCATTTCACCAAAGTTTTTCAAAAAATTGTTGCCGGGCTTTATTTCTGTTTTTCTGTACAAGGCAATTAATAAATTGACCAGTTTATAATGAAACTTATAATCATTGAGATGTAAAGGGTAATTTAAGTTTTGTTGTTAGTTGCAAAGTCGGGTCCGACCCATCGCAACCCCATGGACGTTCCTCCAGGCCTTCCTGTCCTCTACCATTTAAGTTCAATTTAAGTTATCAAAATCCAAAACCAGGTTCAATATAAAAATCTAAATTATAAGATCCCAGGTTGATGGCTGCCACATCACCTCTCTTTAAATCTATTATTCTGTTTCTGGAATGAGAGCCAACAGATCGCAACCATCTTCTTCCTGACACTGCTATTTTAATCTCCAAGCCTAAATATTCCTAGCTTTTTGATCTCTCTTCAGAGAAGAGATTAAAAAATGCTTGTTTCAAAAGAAAAACATCATTTTATCCTCTTCTCTCAAAAAGTTGATTATAATATATTTGGCACTACAGTCAATTATAATGTTATGTGATGAGACTGAAGAGATGAAAATCAGTAAATTAAAAAAAAGTTTATACTATTGCATTCTATATATTATGCTCATACTTTTCACTAGATGACAAAATTTCTGGATGAGGAAGGAAGAAAGGCAGAAGATAGGCACATAGTTCTCTATACTGTAAGGTTTGACTTCAATTGAAATATTTACCTGTGTTCTGGCTATAACCATCTCTGTTGATGCCAATTAAATGATAACCAGTAACTCGTTTCCACCTTCGAACTAGGAATTTCATTCTGCATTTATAATAAAGGGAAATATGTTGTAATATTTAGGACATCTGATATGAAAAACTTAATCAATCCAAATAAATAACACATTTCATGTCCATATATGAGAAATTATTGCTAGACATAATCAATTTCTTAATTTACTATCTCCTTACTTGCTTTCTAAATATTATCTATATACTTTGGATAATAGTTTCCTAGATAGAAGGCTTAGTATTTAATTAAGTACCTTGTTTTCACCTTTTTATCACTTTACATATATAACCAGCTTGATATATCATGTTTTTTTATTAAAGAAAGAATTGAATCTTTTATGTCTTACCTTGAAATTGCAATTAACACTCTCACAGCTGAGCGAAACCGTGTAAAACTTTTTGAACGATGTGTAATGACCTCCAGTTGAGTGTAGGAAGGCTGCCCGCCCATTCTTGCAATAAGAGTTAAAGTGGCTTCTTCACACTCCTGAAACCCACCCAGTAAGAGCAGCAAATATTTCTTCTGATAAATGAGAGCCTTCCGGAAGCTCTCTGCTCTCAGGTATCTTCCATAAACCCTCTAGAATAAAAATTAAATACAGTGAGAAATTACACATTGTGAAGTGCTACATGCAATCATGCAGTGGAATGATTTGCCTCCAGAAGTGGTGAATGCTCCAACACTGAAAGTCTTTAAGAAGAGATTGAACAGCCATTTGTCTGAAATGGTATAGGGTTTCCTGCCTGAGCAGGGGGTTGGACTAGATGACCTACAAGGTCCTTTCCAACTTTTTTAAAATAATAATAATAATAATAATAATAATAATAATAATAATAATAATAATAATAATAATAATAATAATAACAACAACAACAACAACAACAACAACAACAACAACAACAACAACTGAATAAAAACTTTCAGTTGTGAGAAAAGACTAATTAAGTTGTTATTGTTATGGCATTAAGTCCACTTTATCATCTAATAAAGCAAACTGAGACTGATGATAATTTATGTTCTTAAACTACCATTCTTCTGAGTTACTAGCTTTAGTAATACAGCATGGATACATGAAGTTTCCAATCATAAGTGGGTAAATACTTCCTTCTGAAAATCAGCCAGCTGTGGAAAGTTGATTTCTCCTTCATATATTTGGGCAAGGGATTTAATTCTGGTCTCCCTGTTGCTAGTGGGCTACACAACATCTTTTATTGATGTAGTCATATCACCATGATGAACAAGATAAAGAACTTTCAGGCCATTTTATACTAGATTTTGAAAGGAATGAAAATGAGAATTTTCAAAATCCCAATTGAGTAAAAAAGATGTCACCAAAGCTCAAACATTTTGCTACCCAATTTGGGAGGTCCTATGAGAACTATTGGCACCTATATATATTTGTGGGACTGTCACCCTTCCTTAATAATAATAATAATAATAAAAGATATGGAATGTTTTGCAGCTAAATTGAGGCAAATAAGGGTGCCACATTTCAGGCTTGGATCATTTTGATTTCAGATTGCCATAAAAAGCAAATCAGTGTGCAATGTCTAATGATAGAAAAAATGATCCAATAAGAAATTAAGAAAAAGCTTTTCACCTTTAAAGCAGCATTTTCAGAATCTGTTCCCAGTTCTCTCAAGAAAGCCTCATTTCTTAATTCTGCTTTCAGTTTGGCCAGTTCGGCTTCCGCCTGCTTCAGGGACTGTTGAAGACTTAATTTCTCTTTATGCCAGATTTCTTTTTCAGAAGCAATCAGTGCATCAACATTTCTTCCATTATGTAGTGACTGTCTAAAAGTCTTATGAAATTTCAAAAGGAACAAATTAATTAATAACTATAACTTATTCCTTGTTACTAAGAGAAAATAACAAATGTAACGTACACAGTAAAACTATGTACAATAGCCAAGAAAGCAATTATAGAAAGATATTGGTGGTTCTCTCTGGCATTGCTTATTACTGGTTGAATACATATGCAAATAGGTGCTAGTAATTATTATCCTCAAGAACTGTGAAAAAACTTTAATGCTGAACTTTACAACTTAAACATATTTGCCTGCTATATATAATATGTAGATACAATATAAGGCAAGCCTAGTAATAGGTTGTGCTCATCTACCCATTATGATTTTGCAGATTGATATTACTACAGGTAGTTCTCGAGTTACGAATGTAATGGAGCCTTCCCATTCCATTCGTAACTTGAAAATTCATGGGAGTGAATCTCGTACCTCAAACAAGATCACTCCCTGCTCATTAAGTGCATATGAGATATCTCAAGATGGGGAAGGCCTTAGGGGGCCTAGTGATGGAACAGGCCTCCAAGGCCTCCTCAACCTACTAAGATACCTCATGCTTCCCCCTCCCTTCTTGTCACACTGGACTCATTTACCTTGAAAAGATCTGTCTCCTCTCTGCCGTGGTTCCTGCCTTTGAGGGACGGGAGAGTTGATGGATGCTTCTGGGTGCCGTAATATTACTCGAGTTCAGGCACACATCCTCTTTTGCAGAAAATGGGTGCCTGAACTGTCGTGCTGTTTGTGGAGCCAGCCTCCCGTTACCCCCCCCAACTCTGTGATTTGGCGCAATTTTAAACACTCACACGAGATCATGGACTCCAGAAACTTCCATTCTTGGCTTGAAAAGCTTTCCAAGCTGACTCTCCTCTCCCTCAAAGGGAAAGAAACCACGGCAGAGATAATATTTGCAAGGTAAATGAGTCCGGTGCGGCAGAAAAGGAGGTCGAAGCAGTTGTGTGGAGGGGGGGAATAGAGTGAATGTTACAGAGCGAACGACTGCTGTGGTGCTACAAGATTCGTGATTTGGGGACTTGCTCTTAAGCACTAGGGGGCACTTGTCATGTAACTTTGAACGGGCGCTAAGTGAACCCTCGTAACTTGGGGAATTACCTGTATTACTGTAAAATAATTATCTATGAAAATTAGCCCAAGAATATGCAACTGCTTGCAAAATGAATGTTCTTCAGTAGTAATCACTGCTTCCTCACTGTAGAGTCTGCATAGGATTTCAATGTAAGTACTAAATTACATAAATGGTTAAAAATAAGTTACTTTTTATATGCATAAGATCTAAAATATAAATATTAAAGGAAAAGCTGATTATACTGCAGAAATTAAAAGAAAATCCTTATAACGACATCCCTTTAAATTATTTCCACGCAAAGGAAATCCCCATTAGTCTATTTTTATTTTTTTAAAAGCTGTAGGTTAAATTAAACATTTCATATTTAACATTACACTTGGCTTGCAAGTTATTTGACAGTCTGTCCAAACAAATAAGTACTTAAGATGGAGTGAAAACTGATAATTTCAACAGACGGGAAAAACATACTGAGTCTCCACAAGATCCTGTGTATTGATATCTTCTAAGTTCCTCCTCCAGTTTCATGACTGTGTTCCTCATATTGTTCTTCTCCTCACTCAATCTACTAACAAACCCAGTCAGTTCAGCATTCTGTTTTAGCAATCTTTCAGTCAATGAGGCTGAAGATGGGGTGTCTGAATTGATCTATATAGGAGAAAAATAGGAAGTAAAGAAGCTCAAAATAGCTTGAACTCATCTGCAATTAGTTCTGCAATATTGCTCTCTAAGAAATGGAAGCCAAGTCAAGTCACAAATATAATGTGTATTTACATTGAATACAAAATCTATTGCTTTGTTTCAGATAAGATCTTCCATTAAAGATTGCACTTTGCTTTATGTATTTAGATTCATTGTAAATTGCCTGGATTACTTCCCAGAAATGAGATAGAACTGATTCAAAATTTTAGGCGCCATGTGGTAAATAAGAACTAAAGACCCAACTGCACTCTTCCAAATTACAATGTTAAAAACCATATGCTTTAAAACAGCAAAACAGAAGTTATCTTATGCTTACAAACATACACTAACTAATTCAATTTAAATAAATCATTTTCTCATCTTAAAAATAGTAAATAAATACTAAATAAGTATTTCTGCTTCCTCTCTCTGAACATTACCTCCAGGCTATATAAATCAGAGAGCACCTGCAATTTTAATAGAACTTCTTCAATGTCAGTTTGTATTCCAATTAAGTCCTCATCATCTGATTTTTCAAAGGGTAATCTGGAATAAAAAAATATGACATTTGTGTAGCACAATTGAATATGAAATACACATAATCACGTATACTTCCTCATCCATGCCATTATTCTCCCTGTCCCACCCTCATTATTTTCCTATGTCTATCACAGATTATAAATGCCAGTTTCAATAATAATGTTTTGTGAAAGATGACAGAACAAGTATTATGATTATAAATAAATCCAAACTGTGTTAAGACTATGGTCATTATTTTAAATGTAAAACATAAAATAATGGAAAGTACATGATTCAACTATAGGTATGGCTTAACACTGTAAAATTTTTAAAAACATCTTCCAGAAATTATTACCTTTATTTATAACTTTATACTAGCTCATCACATACTCCTAAATTGTACTCCTAAATTGTAATATACATTATATACAGGTCTTTCATTGTTGTATTGCTATTAAAAATAAATATATCTAACCTGCAGGCAGTTTTATTGGCCAAGTGTTTCAATGTGGAAAACACATTTTTGAGCTTCTGCTGAACCATCTCAAGCTCTTGAGATTGTCTGGGGGCATCACCACCTCCTCCTCCTCCTCCAATGCCCATTAGGGAAGAATAAGACAATTCTTTTGTTTCAGCTTGTCCCATTTTCTGCTGGAAAATCCACTTTCTTGTTCGTTCGTTAGATTCATCCAAAGCAACCTGCACATAAAAGTATGGGGAGGAGAAGAGAAGAAAACTGCTTTCTACTAAATATATGAAAATTCTAAAGTCAAAGAAAGTCATTTATAAGTATGTAGCACTTGTAATTTTTTATACAGAAGTGCTTTTTCCAATAGACCGTTCCTGCAGAAACAAACCAGGAATTTCACCCAATTACGGTACTCTGTGGCTTGTTGCTGTCTTAAAACGCAACTAGAGGCTGATCTTACTCTAGAACTCTACCTTATGAAAACAAGAGATTCCTGACTTTTAGCCATCTCCTTCAGCAAAACAACTGGGTTTAGCATTTTGGAAAATACAGAGAAAAGCACTCTACTCTCTTTCCCAATTATTCCTGTTGCTGGTTATTATTCATAAATCTTTAGGCAAATAAACTGATTCAACATAATTTCCCCCTTATGATCTATTGCTTCATAGACGTTTCAAAGTACGTATTGTAAAAAATTAGCATAACAATAAGCAGCTTTGGAAAAATCATTCAAATGAAATTATTGTATTTCCTAAGATCAAATTTATATTCTTAGTTTTATCTTTCATTTGTTTTTGTTTTGATCCTGTTTATTTTACTTTTTAACTCTTACATTTTCAGTTGCTGCCTTGATATTTTATTTCCTCAGTTAGAGGAACAAACAACAGCAATAATTACAAATAGGAGATAGATTCATAAAGGCTTTGAGTATCAATAGTTACTAGTTATCACAGCTATGTATTGCATGCAAGAATAGCAGTCTCTGAACATTCATTGTTGGGAAGTATCAGAGAAAGCATTTTTGAAAGTAAAGGCTTAACATTAATAACAGTTACCTTGTTGTTGACTTGACAGCACAGGAGGAATGTATTGGAACCCCAACAGCATTGGAAGGAGTATAGTTAATCCTCCTTTACCAGCCACTCATTCAGTGATTGTTCAAAGTTATGAGAGCATTGAAAAAGGAGGCTTATGACCAGACCTCAAAATTGCAATTGTCACAATGCCCTTGTGTAACATGATCATGATTTGGGAAATTGGCATCAGGCCCACATTTATAATAGTTCAGCCTCTGGCTTCCGGTGGTGACAGGCTGCACCGCATGGCGGCTTTTGTTAGCCGCCTGTCTGGGAGCGCGTCAAAGCCTGAAGAGACAGCGTTCGTCAGCTGTCTCTCGGCTCGGAACCTCGTCCCTCGGGCGAAGAGGGGGGGGTGAGTTAGTCCAGATAGGGCTAGAGCTTCCTCTCACCCCAGTTTTGCTTTAATCGGGGATGAGAGATGCTAGCTCGCCCGGAGTCTGGATGTTCTCCGCGCCCCATGATGCCTTCGCTCCTACTCATTTGGAGCGAAGCCAGATGCAGCTCCCACCTCTGCTACTGAAAGGTATTTGGACTTAAACTATAAGCAGACGGAACTAAACAGGAGGTTTGGAGTTACAGTGGATTGTTTTTGACTTTGACTCTGAAAATATACTAGCATCTTCTTTTTTTTGTGGAGATTTAAAGTGAGAGAAAATGGCTGCGGAATTGCCGTTTCTCTGGAATACTTTCGTTTTTTACTTTCACTCTCCTTTGGTTACTAACTGGATAGAGATACATTGTTGCTTCTACGGCTCTGGAAAGTTTTAGCTGCAATGAATTTGTGATGCCTACTGGTTGGTGATATTAATACTGTTACTCTTTTGGATTATTGAAGTGATATTTAAAGAAGTCTGGAGAATGGTTTTAAAATGGCTGCGGAACTGAGAAAAAAAAGTGAGAAAGAAATTTTTATTTATTTTTTGGTTGCTGAGTGGAATCTACTGAAAATGCCTTTATCTTTAATTATAAATGACTTAAAGGATGTTTTGATGCAAGCAGTTAAGCAACATGGTGTGGAAGTTAAAGATCTCTGGGTTAAGAGATTGGAAGTATCATATGAAACTGTGTCATCTGCTCTCCAGAGGTTTATGGTTCCAGATTTCACAGAGCAACGGGCGGATAAATTATGTGAAGAGGTTGAAGAAGATGTTATGGAAATAGCCCAAAATAATATGCTATATCGTGGAGATTTGGAAAATGATAAGTTTGAAAAGCTGGAAAAGGAAGCTGTAACAGATTTGGTTATGGTTCTGGTGTACCTCCCTGTTGAAATTTTGAGAAAAAAAAGCTTATATAGAATTAATTTACGGGTCGTGCATCAGAGAAAACCAGCTGAAGATGTTGCTGTTCGTGTCTTTGGAAGAAGCTTACAGGCTTACTACTTGCAAAAATTTCGGACACGTTATAAAATGTAAAAGAAGACTTATTGATTTTGAAGGTTGATTTTGTATCAGTGATGTGGAAAAGTATGAAAAACTGGGGGGAGATGCAAAATGGAGAGCTGGGATAGACTAATAAGGAATGTTTTTGAAGCTTATATCTTTAAAATTTTGGATTAATATTATGGTTTGAATTTGTTATAAGACATTAGATGATTAATGATATATAATTATATTATTCTAAAGGATTTAAATTTTGTATTTAATGGGACTATGATTATAAGAGAAATGGTAAAGTTTAATTTTTAGATATTTGGATTTGGGGAAGATGGATAATTATATTTTGAGTTTTGGTGTTAAAATAGAGTATTATTTTTGTTTTTTTATTATTTGAGTTAAAGTTTCTTTTATAATTGATTGCTTTATGAGGTGTGTTTAATCCTGTAATTAGTTCTGGGAAGTCGGGGAGGGGATTAAGGGGAAATTATAAATCGATGTATTTAATTATTATAGGTTTATAATGGAATTGTATTAATAAGAGGATATGCTCGGCTAGTACCCCAATCTGCACTCGATGAGGTGGTTAAGAAGGCAGAGGGGATGTAGGGAGGTGGCAAGAAGGAAGGAGGAGAGGTTGTGGGTTTAGGGGGAGGAAGGAGAGGAAAGTGGATGAGGATGGAGGCAAGGCGGGGACTGCCGAGCGTATCCGAAAATGTTTTGAGTAAGATTATTTTTCTGGTGTATGTAGATGCATCATTTGTACTTGTTGTTCAATTAAAAATACCGTAATAAAAAAAATTTATAACAAAAAAAAAATAGTTCAGCCTCTTATGGTCATGTGATCCACAGCTGCAACCTTGACAACCAGCTTCCAACAAGCAAAATCAATGGGAAGCCAGCAACACCTCACAAATCATGGTTATATGATGTCATACATAATGCTGTGATTCACTTAATGCTGGAACTGATATTGTCAGTTGCCATAGGAACATGATGTTTCATTAATGACACACTTTTTACTGATGGAGTTGCTGTTCCCAATTGTGGTTGATAAATGAGGACCCTCTATATATGGGAGCAGGAACAGTTACAATAATTTGGATCTAAGCCATGGTCCCAGAAAGCAAGGAATAAGCTGTTTTAGCACCATCCTGTACTTCACAACTTTTCAGCAGCTTTAAATACTATCAATCATGGTATCATTTTCAATTAGCTCAAGTGTTTGAGAGTGTCGTTCTCCTCCTTTCTCACAGACCAGTTCCAATCAGTGTTGATAAGAAGAGAGCAGTCTAGCTCTGGACTCCTGCTTTGTGGAGTGAGTCAGGGCTATATTTTTTCCCTGGTTTTTTATCGTCTGCATGAAGCTGCTGGGCGGTCAGTACAGCTGTCTCTCCCCCTCCCCCAGCCTCTGCCTCAGGCTGACCAAGTGGTGCTCTAAGATTCTGTCCTAGTGTCTTGAGATTGAAGAAACTTAGTTGCAGAAGAAAAGGCTTCAGATCAACCCTGGCAAAACTGAGTGGATGTGGGGTTGGGCTTCCCTGACACTAAAACTGGATATTTCCATCCTTGGCTCTGGTAAGGGTTGCATATATTATCTGGGAGCCCTCCTGGATTCACTTTCTGCTTGTGCAGTAAATGGCAGCTGTGATCAGAAGGGCCTTTGCAAAACATGCCTATTCCCCTATTGCTTGTGGACATTCTCCTCATAATGTTAGTGTCATCTGCATTATAGGAAACAATGAAATTATTTGTAAAGAGCAATAAATAAAGGCAGATTTTGAAAATTACTCTGGACAAATAACAAACATAAATGTATTAATAAGCACCTAAAATACTGAAAGGCAAAGTAAGTTTGTCTCTGAGGGACATGTACCTCATTTACAGCCTGAAATGTTGCTTTTTCCACCTCTTTTCTCTGCATTTTTTGCTGTAATTCTTGGACCATTTCTTGCTGTTTCTTTTCATCACTCAGCAACTGAAGAACTTGTTGTCTCTCTTCTTCAAGTTGCCACTGCAAATCTTCCACTCTGGACTCCAGTTCATGTATTTTTTTATGGGCTAAGATATTAGCATCTTGTTCTGCCTGTAGAGTTTTCCTGTGAATCTGCCTCTCTTTTTCCATTTGTTGTTTCAATTTCACAGATTCTAATTTGTTCTCTTCCAATTCATTAACCATTAGAACTATGCGGTTATGCTTTTCATCCAATTGTTTTTGCAGATCTTTGAACAATTCTTCTGAATGTGTAGAACTTCCATCCCGCTTTGTCTGTTCAATCATCTGGAGCTGGGTACGTAAGTCTTTTTCTCTCTCTAGGGCGCTGCATAACTCAAGAACTTTGAGCCTCTCAGATTCCAACAGTACTTGTAGTTCAGAGTTACAGCTGTGTTCCTCAGATAGTTGTACTGCATTTAGTGCTTCCTGGGATTCAATCTTCTTTTGCAAATCATTTGACAGCTCTCTTTCAAGCTCCAGAAGATTACTCAGCTCTATATTTTTCTGTCTTTCATTTTCAAAAGAAAATTTCAAATCCTTACAAGAGGAAAACAACAAAAACAAGAAAACTGTCAGTATATACGGCTTTGTAAAGACCATGGGAATGTACCATAAAAACAGTAATTTTGAAGATCTTAGAACCCGATACTGAAAAGCTTGGGAAGACTATAATCACATGCTTATCTTACTAGGATTCTAATTCAAAATTTAATTCAGAAGTCTGTTCAATATTTTTTTTTCTGGACTAGTATATTAAGGACACATTTAACATTGGGAGTACTTGCAATTTTAGGAGTAAAGTTATAAATCATAACTATTTATTTTACTGTTAGCAAAGTCATAATAATAGCAAAGTCATCATCTAGCACAGTGGCTCCCAACCTTTTCTATACCCTGCACCCCTAGAACGTTTCTGATATATTCTCGCACCCCTTACAAATGTTCAAAATAATGGCAATGAGTTATGCATATACACTATACTTTTGAAAACTCAAGTTTTTGCATCCCCTGGAATATTGTCTTGCACCCCCAGTTGGGAACCCCTGATAGCACAACATGTTTGGATGTATGTTGTGTTTGTATTGGCTGGTTCAGTGGTGGGATTCAGCCGGTTCGCACCAGTTCGGCCAAACCAGTAGCTAATTTTTTTGTGGCCCAGGCCCAGAACAGACTTCCGGAAGCGGCATTCACATATGTTCACATATTTGAATCCCACCACTGCCCAGGTTGCTGTTCAATATCTTCCCTGCCTAAGCTGGTGGACACAATCTTTAATGAAAAAGTCTCAGATCTGATTTTGAGATTGGGAAGGGTTGACAAGGAATTCAGAATTGGTGTGATGCAATTCACTTCATGGTGAAATGTGAACTTTCTCTGATTACCTTCTCTGAAAGAGCGAAGTAGCCATGCACCCTCAGAGATAATTCCTAAATATTCTTAAAATATTTTTCAGATGCAATGGCTGACAGTTCTGTGGAAATCTCTGTACCTCGGTACCTTGACTAAACAGTGACACTATATTTCCCAAGAGCATTTTTGGTTATGAATGGGTCCAAAATGATCCTTAGCTTACAGACCAAATATCAGACAAAGCAAATAGGCAGAGAATTATTGACTGCATAGGTAGTATACATCTTGGGAAAATACCACTGACCATATTTCAGAGTGCACAATTCATTTATGCAAGTTGAATAGCCCTGTTAATACAGATCACAACAGAGCAGGAGTAGAGCAACCTCAGTGGCAGTGCTCCAAATATAAAATTCTCCTGAGGAACGTTTGTCTACTATTGCTGTCTTTATTCAGAAACAAATAGGGTCAGAACTGGTTAGTACTTAGAAATGCTATTACCAGGAAATCCAGAGATGTAGGCTACTCAACAACTGGGAGGTTGAGAAAATCCTGGAAGAAGGCAATGGCAAAGTTCTTCTCTATTGTTGCCAACTAAATTATATGTATATGCCCGTATAGTCACTATGAGTCAAGTTTTTTACCAAAGTTTTATAGTATAACAAAATAACTGGTTATTTTGCTTTTTCTGTTTTTTATAAAATAATTTTGCTTATATTTTCTAATCTTTGTAAGAATGGTTAATTGTAATGCCTTTATTTAAGGCTAAATTTATTGTTCTCGTATAAACTGGAAAAACAACAATTTTTGAAATAAAATAAATGCCCAAGGAAATAATATTTCAAATGCGTCCTCATATATTAATTGATTACACAGTTTATTAAATAGTGGTTATAAAACAGTAAATTCAAAACTCATAAAAAACTCAAAACTCATTTTTATCATTTTTGTTGCTTTTTTATGTTAGACCAGCATGAGAATTTAAAGGCCATCTAGGGATTTACAATATATATGTTGTACCTGGTTCTACACTGATACAACATAATGAAAACTTCATGAGAAAGTGTAATATATTTTATATACTTATTATCAGCAAATGGTATCCCATGGAAGGGTCCAGATTGAGTATTAGAGCATGTTTTCTATAAAGACTTTTACTAGATTATTGTCTCACATTTATGGCTCAAACAGTCAGCTGATAAATGGCATGCAAGACTTCTGCCCGAGTTCCTGGAGTCCCACTGTTAATTAAACTAATATTGAAAACATAGTTATAAAGCAATTTTTTCTATCTTAGAGGGAAAGATTTCTTTGTGTAATAAAACAAACATTCCACATATTTACAGGTATTCCAGCAGGCTGCTTATTCTTTCATAACCCCCACTGCTGATCATGGATTATAGAGATGAAATATGCAAAGTTCAAGGTTTGGTGAAGTGAAGTAGATTGGCACTATTCCAAGTTCAGTATTAGATGTTATAGTGAACTATCTCAAGCTCCCAGGATCATATTGTCTTATAAATACATAACAACATTTTAAAACATGTGTACCATAAGTACTTCTGCTGTTGCCTTTCTCCTCACAATTATACTATGTAACTACAGGTAGTTCTCAAGTTAAAACCATAATGGAGCCTGCCCATTACAGTAGCAAATGCTGGTTTTTAGCAAAACCATGGTAAAATACAGTCACATGACCCTGGGATAATGCAAACAGCCAAAAGTGTGGTCCCATTGCCAAGTGCCTAAAGTGTGGTCACATGACTGTGGAGGGGCAGCAGCGACCATCAGAACTTTGAATCCAGTTGTAATTGTCTCCATCATGTCCTCAGGATTTGACTCAGGCTGGTTCAGGGGCTCACTGGCCTTACCTAGAAATTCCTCCTGCACCTTGCCAAAGTGCAACTCATGAGCAAGCAGCAAGACATTGAATTCACCAACCAGGTTTGATCACAGCTGTGCGCATTCTCAGCAGACAGAGTGTTTAACTTCCTATTGGCCTTTTCCTAGAAGCAACTCCAGAATCTGGTTTGTCTATCATGACCCTTAGAATCTAGTTATGCACATCCCTGGCTTGTTGACTAATCTTGACCTAGTTTCTCTCTTGATCTGGCATTGTAAATCTTCAGTTTGACTTTGGACTGCTCAATTGGGATATTTGTCTTGCTCAATTAAGCCTTATCTACAATTAACTGTGTTTCTTGCTGCCTTGTTGGAATTTATAGAAGTTAGTCTCTTTCTTAACACTCTGTGCTCCTAGGAACTGAGTCTGGCTTCTGAACCCATCTCTGAGATCCATGCTATCTTTGAACAGTTGTTAAGTGACCAGTCTTAAATTGAAGACTACCCATCTATTAATCATATTCATAACTTGTTTCATTAAGCCTATAGAAAAAGACTTTTGTTAATGATTTTGTGGAAAAGACTATATCTGGTACAAGAATAGTTACAAATATCTAGTTTTGATCACTGAGGCATTTGGAATGAACTCTGCTTTTTGCAATTTGTAGTTTTAATTTTGAGCCTGTCTGCAAAGTCTGTGAGGAAATATAAACATTAAAGATGCTGGGTTAATTCTCAACCTTTACAATATACAGTATCTTATTAAATATATAGTAAAGCATGAATCATCATCTGTGTAATGATCCATTCCACTGTACATATTGAAGTACCAAGATTGGTTACCTCGATTTCTTCTTTTTCTCTTTTACCACCGTGTTCCACTTTTGCTCTCTCCTTCTCCAGGGCCCACTGAAACTCCCTTGATTTCTTCTGTTCATTTGTAATCGTACTTTTTAAGATTTCAAGTTCAGTTGCTTTTCCCTTAAGTTCATTTCTGATAAAAGCCAAGATAAATCCATTTTAGTTATTTGAAAAATAACTAAAATAGGAGAAAATATTTATATTTATATTTGTGTGATGAGCACAAAACTGTCTATTACAAGGCAAACCTGCAGGTTTTCTTAAATTTTACTTCTTAATAATTGTGAGATGTGCACGGAATAATTGTGAGATGGGCATAATAGTAATACTCTAGTAGTAAATATTACCTCTACTACTAATCTTCCCCTATATTCTTTTGATCGGCTAACACTGAACATTTAGTGTATAAACTGTCAGTATTGTTTTTCTTGTATCAATAACATTCAGCAAACAAATCAAATTAAAATATAATTAAAATAATTTGATTAAAATAATCAACTCTATACGTTTGCTGCAAAAACGTCTTCATTCCAATAATAATAATAATAATAATAATAACAACAACAACAATAACAACAACAACAACAATAATAATGATAATAATAATAAAGTTGGAAGGGACCTTGGAGGTCATCGAGTCCAACCCCCTGCTCAGGCAGGAAACTCTACACCATTTCGGACAGATGGCTGTCCAGTCTCTTCTTAAAAACCTCCAGTGTTGGAGCATTCATCGCTTCTGGAGGCAGGCTGTTCTATTAGTTAATTGTTCTAACTGTCAGGAAGTTTCTCCTTAGTTCTAAGTTACTTCTCTCCTTGATCAGTTTCCACCCATTGCTTCTCGTCCTGCCTTCAGGTGCCTTGGAGAATAGTTTGACTCCCTCTTCTTTGTGGCAGCCCCTGAGATATTGGAACACTGCTATCATGTCCCCCCTCGTCCTTCTCTTCGTTAAACTAGACATACCCAATTCCAGCAATCGTTCCTCATGTTTTAGCCTCCAATTAAAAGCAAAAGAAGTCAAAGTGAATCTTGCATTAAAACGAATAACAGCCTCACTTTAAAACTGATTTTTAATAGAAATGTAAAAAAAATGGTAAGATCTTCTACAGTGCTAAAGAAAACAGCCCTTAAAAATTGTACCTGATGGCTTCCAGATCCCTTAAGTGCTTATGTTGTGCTTTTAGGGTTGTTTCCAGTTCCAGCTTGGTTTGCCCAAGTTCATTCTTTAGTTCTGCAACCATCATCCTTTCAGAGCTGAGCTGCTCTTGAAGTTCAGCTGTTCTGTCCTTGGTATTTTTAAGCTCCATTTGCATTTCCATATTGTAACCCAACAATTCTAGGGAGTACATTTTCACACAGTAAGAAACAGACTATACATGCTAATTTGTCATATTGAAACAAAATCCTGAACAAAGAGCAAAATCAGTATCTTATTTATAAAAAAATATTTAACTTCAATAATAATAGTGTGTTTAATCTGTAGTCCTTTAATGAAACATGGATTAATTCTATTACAGTGTTCCATATTATAAGTTATTATCATGTAATAATTTTAAACTCACTACAAGAATTTCAATTTAACTAGGCCACTAATTTCTACATGTTCAGCTCTTGGACTAAGATCTGTTGCCTCAAATGTCTTTAACCTGAGAGATCAGGGAGCTATCAAGTAACTGAACCTTGTAGACTTGAGATTATTAGTGCTACTTTCTGAAGCTGGCTGAGATCGTATAATAACACTGTCCAAGTTTAGTTTTGGTACTCTATATTATTAATTCACATATACCAACAATAACACACAAACCTTTCTTTTTTAAACTGAAGCCTAGTAAGGAAGCCTGATGGTAGGAAAGTGAAGGTAACCCTATTGATCAAACAATTTTACACATTACCTTGACATTTTGGATGAATTTCTATTTCTTCCTTTTCATCATCATGCCTGTTTAGCTGTGCATGCAAAATGCTGATTTCCATTAACAAACTTTGTCTCTCTGCATTCTGAAGGAAATCCAAAGCACTCCTCTGATATGTCATCTTTTATCAATTATTAAGAATAAAAAACAGAAAGAAATACCAGATTAATGAATTGCATAGAACTTGCCTTTACTAATCAAAAAGTTAAACAAGTCCTCATCTCAGGTAAATTATAGGAATGTAGTGGATTTCATCAACATAAGAATAAAAACATTTTTCAGGAGATTTTTTTTATGTCTTATGTGGGTGTTCTTAAGTGGTAATCCTTCTGTTTTATTAAACATGTGTTTCATAGAATATTCATAACAACACTGTTTCAATAAAGGAACACAACATCTTTATCTTTATTACAATTACTTTCTAATTTCCCATGTATCTTTAGGATGTAGTAGAATTATAATTTGTTTTCCCAATTACAATGTTTACTTCCCACTGTTGGAACAAACTATTTTAAAGTAAAAAAGTAAAAAAAGAATTTGCTACTGAACATGATGGAAAGTTTTGCATCTATTAAAACTAGTTGTTTATTTGCAAATTTATATGTAAAATGTTCCCAACAACTATGGGTATGAAAAATAAATCATAAAATTGAAGTGTATACAGTAATAATAAATAGCATAAACATGCAAGACTATACAAAATTGTCCAAGTTTTCTCTACTTGTAACAAAATTTGTAGATTGTGAGAGTTTTTTTCAGTTTGAAATAAACATGTTCTGTTCTGTATTTAAAACAAAAAATTATCAGCATTATCCCAGTTTAAATTTGGAGGTTCTTTGGTAGCTTGGTAGAGTTTTTATAATTTCCAGTGATTAATCCAGTAATGGTGACTAGTTATGTTCCTGCTACTACTGGGGTGGACTGAATGAGGTGATTTTGGCCATTTTGAGTGTTTTGACTGTTCAAAGTAACTGTGACCGAGCCATTGTTTGTAACTCATGACTAGATTGTGTTATTTCCAATGTTTTTTTAGCTGAACCCAATATACTGCAATAGAAGTCAGGTCCCTACTTCTATTGATTTAGACTAAGTAGGTTTTGAAGGAATGGAGAATTACAAGGAAACAATAGGAGTTAGAAGACTTCAGCCTGCATGGCTGGTAAGTGCATTGCTTTATTAAAGAAAAAATATTTACCATGAGAAACTCAAAATTTATAAAATTGGATTATGGATTGTAGGTGTACTGGGCATTATTTTGCAGGTGGTTCATGCAAATACATGTTTGTATAAGCTATATGTTTTACTACATATATTTTATTCTAATAATACAGATAAAATGGAAAGTTCTGAATTGAATTGTTTCTAATGAAAAAGAAATAAAGTCATTTCCATTCCTGATAAATTTTATCATCACAAAGGTAAATAATATGTAACACTTCAAAAAACAAAAAAGTCTGGATGAAATGCTTGAATATATCAATAGACTTCAAATCCAGCAGTTTTTTGAAGGTCAAGTTGTGATCATTTACTGACCACTTGCTCAGGAACTATAAGATGTAACATTGGTGCTAAAAAAAACACCATTATGGCCAATTGGAAATAATTTATACCATCACAATATTCCTCAGTCACATGAACAGTTATAATCAGTACAATTGTCCTGTTTTTAATTCCCCATCCCGTTTGCAGAGAGATTGGAGAGAGATTACAAGACTATAAAACTGTTTGCTCTTCTACCCATGTTGGCATCTCAAGACTGTGGGGTTGCAAGCTTGCTACATGATCAGTTTACAATACTTTCTTGAAATCTCTTCCTTTCATCTCTCTGCTTAATAAAAAATATCATAAACGAAGCATCTTTTTAACTGCTAAAATAAATACTTTTTTTCAGTGATTACCAAGAGAAAATCATTACTTTTATCTAGTATAATTCACCTGTTCTTGAAGTCTCCTTTCCAGCTGATCTATTAGTCCCACAGCATCTTGAACACCGACTTCTGCCAATTCAGTCTGAAATGCCGCTAGAAGAATATCCTTTTCATTTTGGAAAATTTGTTGAACACCACAGAGCAGCTCTGCCCGCCAATCTGAGACAGTGTCAGAGGTTTCAGATGCTACATAAAACTAGAGGAACACAAAATCAATAGTGTGTAAGTATATTAAAGTTTTTAAAAGAATAAACTGTTCTGACTTTTTGTTTATGTTATATTTGTTTATGTTATGTTTATATTATATTTATATGTTAGTGAAAATTCTTAGCTCTCTCACTTTTTTATTTAATTAATAGTTTAATGATTTCCAGTAGTCTTAAGAACAGATTTATGACTAATATTATCATGCATTTAGTATGCTTTGGCAATTTTGGCAATTCTTGTTTTATATGAACTTTTTTTCCCCTTTAAAACACCTTTCCCCATCATGGAAGATTTCTCATTTCAGATGTATTAATCTCTGGAATTCCAAATCAGAGACCCAATATATTTGCAGACCGGGGAAAGCTGCTTTAGCCTCTTTAAAGTCACTACTGAAAACAATTGTGAAACTGAAGACTATTGTTTAAAGCAGAAGCATAAAAGTCAGAAACTCTAAATAGTATAATCAAGTTTTATTTTTTCTCTAGGAATTTCTGTACTGAAAATTACTATATACACGACTAAAACTATAATGCAATACACATTTATCAGGCATATGAAAGATTGGACTGATACAATTTTTTGAAAATTTAGATGAGGATTTGTCTCAGCTGATTCTGGTTAAATAAAAGAGGCATTTTCAAGAGATCAAATATAATTTTATAATATATTTAGAGAAACATAAATATTTCTATAAGTAGAGAATTGTCAGGTGAAAGTAACTAGAACCACTCATGAATAATCCCACACAAGTTTTAATGCTAGTCACTTATGTTACAAGAATTTCACCAGATTGACTGCATTCCTTTGGGGATGGCAAGATTCAAGGATTCTGGAGGAGGTCTGGCCTGTGTGGCTTACAACGACTATAAACTCTGATTCCTCTTGACCCCTCCCTCCACTTTAGCTGGAGATTCCACAAGAATATTAATAAAATATTTCATAATATATGTACATAGCCAGCACAAGTACTGACTACAATGTAGCCATTCTGGGATCATAATTACCTTAGTTTGTCTGTGAATCTGCATTTTGGCAATTAATTCCTTCAAAGACGAAATACTGCTTAAAAAAGCCATACGTTCTTCTAGCCAAGGTTCTAGTTCTTGTTTAATAGGAACAACTTCACCTTCACTGTAAGGAAATTCTGTGAGAGAAAGTACCTGTATGCCTTCATGATGAATAGCTCTTAGCAAGCCCTAGAGGGAAAAACATCAAGTAATATAGTATTGAGAATGAATCATTACTATTCCTTTTCCAATATTAAGAAACTACTTTAAGGATGTGTAGGTGGGAGCAGAAAGAAAGTTTTAATTAGAATTGATAAATAATTTAACTCAGGGTAGGTATCTGGACACTCATGAAACTGCAAGGATTTGTTTTTAATCTCAACTGTTTTCTACTCAAAAAAATCAAAATGGATCTTATTCACCTTGATTTTGTTTGGAAGAAAATCCATTGTTGTTTCACCTTCATCTCCTACAGCATCTGATATGGTTTCTGATCCATGGCTTGGAGCCAGGTATGTTCCTTGGTTCCAGCCTGAAGCAGAGTCTGAAATAATAAGCTCAACTGTCAAATCATAAATAAAAAGTTTTTTCCAGGTTTTAATAGTCACTCTAAAAATAAAGTTAATCAAAAATTAATATTCTCTTACCATTATATGAACTATCACTGGCAATAGAAGTTATAGACTGTGCTATACCCGGGATTGTCTAAAATAGAACAGAAATTATAGTTAACAATATGATTCTATAAATAAAAATTTCTGTTTTAAAACTTAAAACTACAGCAAACGCATCAGCATAATACAATTTCCATTTTAACCAACAATAGCAAAATATTCAGAAACAGATTTGATACTTATTCAATTATTTCCTGCTGGACAATGCAAGATCAAACTGTTTCATTTTGTGTGGTGCCTTAATAATATTTGTAGAGCAATAAAAGTTTTAGCTATGAAAACCAGGTATTGTTAGTATTTTACATAGCACATACCTCTTTATTTCTTAGGACATCTATGGCATTTTTCAAGACATTACATTCTTCTGTTAACTCTTGTATTGCAATAAATTGTTCTCTTTTCAACACTTCTGATTCTGAGATGTGTCTCGTTTCCATGTCCATTATTTCAGCAGCATGTAATTCCTGCATTTGTTCAATTTTTTCATTAAATTCTTTTATAAGTTCTGTAACTTCTGCTGAAGAATATTCATTTTGTAAATCAATCTGAATTCCTTCACTTTTCACAAGGAGTTGTGAAGTCTGGTTGCAGCTACTGATATGCTGTACCTTTTCAGTCTGACTTGATGCATTTATCCATTTGGTATCTATTTGCTCTGGTTTTATAATATTCTTTTCCTTCTTTATATATCCAGCAATTTTTTCTTCTGCCTGGGCTAATTTATTCCTGGTTTGCTCTAGTTCATCTTTAAGAAAGATCAGGTTTGATTCTTTTACCTGTAAACAAACAAAAGTTCAGATGCTTCTCTTACAGAAAGAAAATACAAATAGTATGGTCTTATTAAACCACCCAGTTCTTTGCAAATATTTTGAAATGACAGCTACCCATAAGTATACTTTTTGAACCTGTTTGTAATTCTGCTGCCTTATATTCTCCTTCCACTACAGAAACTCATGAATATCATATCACTACTTATTAATAGGTAGTAAGTTTAAATTTTATTTTTAATTATTAATACACAGGTGATATACTGTACAAATTCAAGAATGATGTACTGAGCAGTGGGGAGCAGGGCATAGCATATAAAACTAACTGTGTGATGCTGTTCAGGAACATATTGAGATTCACAAGTTGAAAACATGAAAACAGGCTAACAACAAGCAGTCGATGCACACAGTGAGCAAATCTCAGTGTGGTGCAGTAGTTAAGATGATGGATTGGCACAGGTTCAAATCCATCCTTAGCCACAAAAGCTCATTTTGCAACTTCCAGCCAGCCCCCTTCTGCAAACCTAGCCTATTTTACAGGATTTTTTTTCCTGTGGGAGACAATGGAAGGACACCTTGGGCTCGTGAATGAAAAACAAAATAAAAATCAAGGAAATAAAAAATAAAATCAGCTTTTGCTAATAACTGCCACCTGCTCTGTAGATTTCATTTAGCAAATTTTATTTAGTTTGGGCCATTGTACTGTAATAAAAAATTTCTTGTCAGATTTTTCCATCTGTAGATCACATTTTAAGATTATTGCTATTGTCTTCCTTAAAGCGTAGACATAAATCTAGCTCAATGTTTACTTTTAAATAAAAGCCTCAGTAATAGAGCTCTTAATTTTTTACTTATTGATAAAACATGCAAAAATAAATCTCACAGCAAATCTTCCAAATATTTGAAAGTTTAGTTCTAGATTGATTATATCAAGATAGCATGACAGTATAAAAAGCAGTTATGGAATAATCATAAAATTGAAACTTTCTACGTCCTTCCAATGTGCTTTTAATTACTTAATGGTTTTATTTTGTACCCTTCAAATACATTGCTCCCAGCAACTTTCAGTGCAAAATACAACAGATGTTTATTTTATTCTTACCAGTAACTGTTCTTTCAATTTCTCTGCTTTTTCTTTGTAGTTATTAAGCTCTTCCTTGGCTGCAGCTGACTCCAATCTGACTTTTTCCAATTCAAGATAATTTCCTTGCTTGTTTTCACCCAACTCTGTGACCATCTAAATTATTAGTACCAAAACAGTAATTCATGCGAGTATAAACTTACGTATATGAATTTGGTATTTCTTAGTTACTATGTTAAGGTAGTATCTCACATTGGTAGTAGTTTAAAATATAATGGGGATGAGTCCTGACTTAAATTAACCCTTGGCATAAAGATTTAAGTATTTCCCCAGTTTACTGCCCAATGAAAGTGGCTACTGGTATGCAGCTAAGATGGCAGAAACATATATGTTGGTAAAGTCTTCATCACCAGTTTTTGTAATAAAGATTAACCAAAAATAATGGCTTTACTGTCCATGTATCACTTTTTTTGTAAAATGCCTGATGATGGGCCAAACAGTTTAATGCTGTTTTAGACATTTTATTGGTATTTTACATTATGGTTCTTTTATTGTTTGAATTTGTACTTGGCTTTGTTCTGTAAGATATTATAGAAATACTTTATTCTACTCATTTTCAGTTTTTGCATTTTCAACTGTTACAGCCCATTTCTCTCAAAATGATGTTTGAAGAATAACTGACTCATTTAATATTTGAAGAAAACAATTTCAAGCCATACATACCTGAGTTTGCATCTTTCTTTCCTCAGAGCTTGACAATTTCTCCCGTTTATGTCTTTGTTCTATTTCTGTTAGCAGTTGTTGAAGTTTAACAAGTCTCTCTTCCTTTTCTTTTGTCTCATTCTTTACTAATTCCAGTTTTGTTCTTTCTAGTTGAAGATTATTCTGTGCATCTGCCAGTTGGCTCTGCATCTCTGAAAGTTTCTCTGATAACTCTAATAACCTAACTGTTGCATCTTCCCTACCTATATATTTTGCATTTTCTAATGGAATACATAAGGCTTCTTCTTTGCTATCTTCTGAAACTGCAGCTACCAGGGGAGAAAGCTGACTTTGCTCCAGAATCAGATTCAATTCAACTTGATTCTGAAGGTTTGCAGCAGTCTTTTGCTCAAGGGCTTCTTCTAGTTCCATTATTCTTTGTTTGAGCTTGTTTGACTCCATATGGGCTTGGTCTTTGAAATCCTTGAAATGCCTGTTGCATTGGATTAGCTCTAAATCCTTTTCTTTTACAGCTTTCTCAAGTACCTTTAAATTTATACTTATTCTCGAAGCATCTTCTTCAATCTTTGTACTTATTTGTGCATTGCCACTTCTTATTGGAATAGACTTATATTTTTCTCTAGTTTTTTCAAGTTCTTCTTTCAGTATATCTAGTTCCTTCTCTAACTTTACTATGTTAATTTGTTTTCTTTCAAGTTCATTCTTTGCAACAAATAACTGCTGAACATTATTTTCCACTTGTATCACTAAATCATCCTTTTCTGCCATTACAACATCAAGCTGGTGTTTTAAATTATCTATATCATCTTGAGTCAATGAAAAGTCCAAAGGTATCTTGTGTTCAATATTCACCATTTCCTGCTGGAGTTTTTCAATAACTTCATTCAGCTGTTCTATTTCTTGTTCATTTTTCTGCTTGACACGTTCTTGATCACTCTTTAAAATTTCTATTTGGGCTTCCAGTTCTTTTATGTGCTCATTTTTCTGCTCAACCAACTAAGCAGAATTGAAATAAAAACAAAGAAAAAATATTATGAAGGGCAAAATTCTTGTTTTTATGACACTAATTATATTTCTTTATATTAAATATATATTTTAAAACTCTGCATGCTTTTTATATAAAATTTGTAAAAGGTAAATCAGAGTAAGTCATATTTTATTTAAATAAGATAAATATTGTTTTATTCAGATGTAATATTTTAATGTGTTATGGGGGGTTGTTGGTCCTGTATGCATTTAAAAAACCTATTTAGTTGTGAGCAAATAAAAGCTCTCCACTATGAGAAAATAATTGGCAGAAAAAATAACACAAACCAACTACTAACAATTACAATTACCAGAAACTGTACCAATTGTAAAAGTTCTACTATGCCACAAACTGTAAATAAAGAGGGATAATATGAAATATTAATTATGTATTGCAGATTATAAAGTATATTTAAAAAACATCCATGCACATTCTATTTTGAAGTACAATTATAGGTATTTTAGTCCCTGTTCTAACATGTTTATTACTTGCTTAAACAGATGGTGTCACTAAGGATTTCATAAATTATTACTTTATTATCTGTTGTAATTTCCAGCTGCTGTTGCAATTTTGAAATTTGTTCATGGAGTTCATGGATTTTCTGTTCCTTTTCTTGTATAATCTGTATATATTTCCCAGGAATTTGATGATGACCCTTTATAGAAGTATCTTCAGGATTCTGGATAGCTTGACCTAATTTTTTCATGTCATCCTACAGACAAAAAGCAGTAAGATGAAAATAACTTATAGATTCCCTTCACTAATTATTTTCATTTTATCAGAGGAATAAACTGAAACAAGAAAATATTTTCAAATAGCATTTTATAAATAGTTAAATACTTAAGATTTCATACTTTTTCATAATTTTCAGATTTCATAAACTCAAGTTATATTCATTCAAAACAGGAAAGAAAAACTTGCTTTCTTCTCAAATAATACCTTAAATGATTTATTTTCTTGTTCAAGTTCTTGTTGTCGAGTTGTAGACTCTTTTAGCTGAATTTGTAGCTGCATCTGTAACTGCTGCACTTCTTCATTTTTGTTTTCTAGTTCTTCACGGAACTGTTCTAATTGTTCCTCAAGATTTATGATCTGTATATCCAAAATAAGTGGCAAAGGAATAATTTATTTTATGTAAATAAGAGCTGCATTTGTTTTAGGGTTATTTTGTAACCCCTTTGTAACCTTCAATTGTGTGTGTATCATAGGCCAATAGTTTTTGAATCAAGGTATCTCAAATGGGCTAACTTAAAAGAATGTGTCCAAAATCTGGGATCCATTACTTCCGTGGGATTGAAAATTCAAGGATTCTCAGGCCAGTTGTAATGGCAAAGTAGTGCTCTGCAGCATTGCCTCACCATCCCGCAACGCTGCCATAGTCACGTGTGGTTTCTGATGCCCCCTGCCAGCTTTGTACAAACAAAGCCAATGGCAAAGCTGGCAGGAAGCTGCAAATTGCTCTCGCTCCCACTGCTTTTAGTGGTTTTTTTTTTAACCTATATTTTTTTTACTCTCTCTAAATAATTTTCTATAAGTTTAACAAACTTTTTTGAGCACTACAAGTGATCAACAGAAAACCAAGCTTATATGGAACCATGAATTCCTTTGCCCCAAAGGTGCTTTTCCAGAAGGCAACTGGACTTTCTTGGGTTTTTTTCCCCTTGAATATGTTTTGCTTTTCATCCAAGAAGCTTCTTCAATTCAGTCAGAACAGAAGAAGCTTCTTGGAGGAGAAATGAAACATTTTCAAGGAAAAAACCCAAGAAAATCCAATTGCCTTTTAGAAAAGCACCTTTGGAACAACCATGATTTGGATAATTGAGAATCTCCATAGATATGAATTCCTTTATACCTCACATGCTAAATTCAATTCAAATAGTGAAAATTCTGAATAATTAAAAAAAATACTCTACCTCTTTTTCCTTCCTGTCTACAGCTTCTTGCTCAGCCTGTAGCTGTGCTTCTAGAGGCCAGTCCCCCCTTATAGTTGCAGACCCAAATTGCTTTCTTTCTTCCACCTTTAAAGTAAGTATATTTAACTATCACTTCTTTTAAGTCACAGTTCTTTGATTATTAAGTAAAGCAAGTTATGTTGATAATAACACTGTACAAATAATTATAAATAAAACGGTCTCTACCAAAAAATACCTTTTGTATATTGTCTGCACTGATCATTAAAGCTTGTTCCAGTTCTTGGATTCTACATTGTAATTTCTCAATTTCTTCATTCCGTTCTTGCACATCTCTCTGAAGTTGCTCCTTAGAGAGCAAAAGCTCACTGCATTTGTCTGTTTTCTCTTGAAGATGATTTGTTAATTCTTCAATCTGGTGGCAAACCAGAGGAAATGCATAGGCTATAATTCAAACACAAATTTGCTACAAACTATGGTAAGTTTAAATTGTCTGAAATAGGAAAAAAGAAGGATGTACATGTATTTAAAAAACCTTAATGTCTGGAGGAAATCACAAGCAACCAAAATCAAATAAATAAAGGGAAATCAGAAAAATGGAGAATGCTGGCTGTTTGGTTTTGAGCTAACTGGAACACTTCCATAGCAAGAAAATATTTGGGCAAAGCTGGGGGCAGGGAGCGAAAAAAACCCAAACTAAGTACTAACCAGTCACAACTACCTTTGGGGATCTACCAACATACTACAAACTGTAAATATAGAGAGGGACAATGTAAGAGAGCAAATATGTATTTCTCAAAGGTAGATTTATTTTTTTTATTTATTAAATTTATATGTTGCCCATCTTGTGATTTGAGGTGACCCTGGGCAGCTTACAATGTAATAAAACATAAAGATATAAAAACAATTATAAATATAAAAACAAATTAATTAATCAGTGGAACAACCTGCTTCCAGAAGTGGTGAATGCTCCAACACTGGAAGTTTTTAAGAAGAGACTGGATGGCCATTTGTCTAAAATGTTATAGGGTTTCCTGCCTGAGTAGGGGGTTGGACCAGATGACCTCCAAGGTCCCTTCCAACTTTATTATTATTATTATTATTATTATTATTATTATTATTATTATTAATAATAATAATAATAATAATTAAAATTACAAAAGATTAAGAACAAACTAAAAGACCATAGTTTGGAGAGGAGCAGCAGTGGTGCCTTCTTTATTACTGCATCAACTACCTACACCTACAGCTTCTCCTTCAGGGCCCGATGCCAACCAGCACATTCATATTTTAAAATTCTTCCTGAAGGTCAGAAGAAGGGGCAGAGATCACTACTGGCAGCAAGATAGTCCAAAGAGTGGGGGGGGGGCACCTCAGAAAGGCTCTTCTCCTATACCGCACCCAGCCAAAATTCCTTGGCTGATGGGTGTGATTGAGGCAGGCCAGCTCTTTCTGCCAGTGTGAGTAAGACAGGCTGATTCCATAGGGGAAAGATGGATTCTCAGAGAACCTGGAACAGTGCTATAAAGGGCTTTACAAATAACGACCAATACATAATCTAAGGGTAGATAACAATACCCATCAAAAAGTGAACTGTGGCATAGGTTTTTAGAGATTTTTTTTATATACTGAAATTACAAACATATCCATAGACACACACACACACATGAAAACACACAGCTCTGATAATTGTGATTTTTTTGATGACAGAAGTCCTTCTATGTTCAGGTTATAATTTTTGATGATATAAGTCCTATGTTCAAGTTATAATGCAACTATTCTGAATTATACCTATTGGAATTTATGGCCTTTAGGCTAGATTCTGTGTTTGTGTATGATGTATGTATACGTGTGTGTTTGTGTGTGTGTGTGTGATAACCCACGCCTGAAGTTATGGTCAAAATTCAAGTGCTTGGCGGTCTGACTGCACTTGCAAATGCAGGGGCACTTCAACTCCACCCACCCTGCCTATCTACCCCATCTCTGCCCTTTTGGCCATCTTGCACCATGCTTAGAAGTATAGCAAACAGTCCCAAATCAAATGGGCTTTTAGGCCCATTCTAACATCCCAGGAAGTTTCAGCTACCACTATACAACTCAGCAAGCATCAGCAAGCATTTGTTCATCTAGCTGTCTTCTTTCCCAGTTCCCTCCAATAGTTTCTCACCTTTTGTACCCAGCCACCTCTGTTGAAAACACCTCACTGCCTTTGCTGCCTCGTCTTTTGACCTGTGGCTACCATGCTACCTCAGGCACACCAGTTTCTTCAGCAAGCGCTTCCTACAAGTGGCTCTCCAGGCCGCCCAAGCAGTGTGGCACCAAGCTGCAGCATCCATGAACCCCAATAAGCACCAGCAAGCTTTAGTTCACCTACCTACCTTCTCTCCCAGTCACCCACACCAACCTTTGTACTTTTCGCATCCAGCTGTTGCAGCCAGAACAGATGCACTTCCCTGTCTCCTTTTTGCACACAGCTTCTCTGGTGAATGTTTCCCACATGTGGCTCCCTAAGCCTTTGGAAAGCTGTGCTGCTTTTGGAGGATGGGGTGGAATTGGAGACAGTCCCTCACTCTACTGAAGCTCAGGACAGGGAAGGCTTGTCTTGGGAGGTCTACTTGTTTAAGGACCCATGATTCTTGGTTAATGATTGCAATGGGAAGTGGTGAGACTGCCATCCTAAGTTGCTGTGGTCACATGACATCCCACTTTACAACTGAGTTACTTAGCGATGCAAATTCTCATGCCGGTATGGTTGTAAGTTAAGGACTACCTCTCGGCGAGGGTTCTAAGGATGTGAGGGGGTTCTTTTGGGAAAAGTACTGACCGGCTCCTCCCCCCCCTCTGTGTTTCTCCAGGAAGCTTTTTATATATATAAAAACTTACCTCCTACATTACCACACAGCCATAGTTTATATATTCTTCGCAATGTTTTTGCTTTGCCATACTTTGTAAATCTTAATTACCATAAAAAATACTGTAAAAAATGGCTTAAACACAGAATAGCACTTGTCATTAAATTCAAACATATGTATATACCCATAAGATTCTGCAGGAGTCTCACTATCAATTCTCAAAAAGCCATATTAGCAAAAAGCCAGCTAAAAATTTCAGAGGAAATATTAATATTACGGGCAAGTTAATATGGAAAGAAGCCCTAAAGAGTTTATTCTCACTTATATAGCTCAGTCTAAATATTATTATTCTGGTTGATTATTAACATAAAAACTAAGGGAGTGCCACATAGTCACAGTTCATACAATGTCACAAATGAATTATCCCTTTATCTTACCTCTCTATTTTGATGTTCACTGACTGGTTGCAATCTCTGAGGAATTTTAAGCTGTTGCTCAAGCTTTTGTATTTCTTGCTGGAAAACATCTCTCTCATGCTCCCTATCAATTGCCTGTTCCTGAAATGTAAGCCGTTATATATATATATATATATGTATTTTTAATGGGAAATATCAAAATGTAATGCACAATACAGATAGTCCTCGACCCTATGACCATTTGTTCAGTGACTATTCAAAGTTACAATGGTACTGAATGAATGGGGGTTATGACTGGTCCTTGGACTTCTGGCTGCCCCAGAATCTCCATGGACATGTGATCATAATCTGGGTGATTGGCAACCAGTTTCACTTACTATCAGTTTCCAAATGATCATGGAGATAACATGATTGCCATTTGCAACCGTTCCTCTGGCTTCCACAGAAGGTCAATGGGGAAACTGGCAGGGTAGGTCACAACTCACTAGAATAAGCCTCTCCGACTCATACATCCTATTTCAGCTCCTCTGCTGTCATGCTGCAAAAGCCACTCATGCACCCCACCCAACCTCCCTGACTCTCTCTTGCACCCCTGTGCAACCTCTCTGACCAATGGCACAACCACACACAACCTCCTTGACCTGCACAGTGACTTTTGTGCACTCTTTCACATCCTCTCATCTCTCGTGCAGTCATGGTTGCATGGCAGCTCTTGTTTGTTTCCTCACATGTTCCCTGAGATAACACTTCTCACTCACTTTGCCTGCACAACACTTCACTCCCTCCCCACTTGGCAACACCACTTACCTGCCTGCTGGTTTGGGACTTACAACTTCCTGCTGGCTTTGGTTGGTTGTTAGAAGTTGGCAGGAAGTTGCTCAGATAATGACTGTGGGATTCAGTTAACAACAGCAACTGGGACTGTAAGGATTTCTGTTGTTAAGCTTAATGATGGAAATTCCGGTCCTAATTGTTGTTGTAAGTCAAGGATTACTTATATTTTGTTTTCAACTTATTACAAAATATAACAGGAACCACTGATGTCTTAAAATACTATTAAGTTAGTTTCATAAAACCTTAGTAACGATTTGTGAATTAGAGTGTGACAAGAATTGAGAGTGAATATGTGTGTATTGCTCTTCATATGGAACATCAACCCCTTTCTGCACATTTACATACAACACTACACAACTTAGACAAGCAATACACAAAGTAGCAGCATCCTTTTTTTCCTCAGATCTTTTGCAATGTATAGGTTATTATAGTGCTAAATGTGATCCAGTAATCAAGCAGTTTGTTTACATTATTCATTAGAAACAAAATCCAAGTAGATTCTCAGCAAATATATAAAATCAATGGCAATTTTAGCATAAAATTATGCTATTTATTATGTCAGAAAAATTGTAATTAATTTTCCAATCTTTTTATACAAAAATCACTTTAGGCTTGAAAAGTTAAAGAAGTCCAATTGTACTGGAAATACTTTAACACAGTTTCAACATTATCAGAAACGCTTTACTCCTGAATCAAGGCTTTTTAAAGAGTTTAAGCTGAGATTGGTTCAAATTAAAAACATTTTTCACATTGACTGTTTACAATGATAACCTCGTAAAATTAAACTTATTTTAAATATGAAAATATAGCCATCTTATTTTTTTTACAAAAAAAAAGCCTGTTTACCGTGCTATTTTTTTTAAAAAAAGTCCAAATTGTGTATGACATAAGCATTTTAATGCATTGTGCTAATTGAGTTTTTGTTGAATTCTCTTTTTTTATTCTGTTGTAAATGATGTGTGGATTGAGCTCATCGTTTTACTTACATCTAGAAATTTTTTTGTTTTCTCAAGCTGTTTCTCTAGGGCTTGGTTTTGCTGCCTTAGATCCATTAGCTCTGCATTTTTTTCTTGCTCTAGCTCCAAAAACTGGTTGACCTGCTCCTCTATATCAGTTTCCAGTGCCTTCACCTGCTTTTGAAGGTAATTGTATTCTTTTTCAGCCTGCCGCTGCACTTCTATTTTTTCCTTCATTAACTTTTCTGTCTCCGCCAACAACTCTGTTTAATAAAGCATAACTTATTATATGTGGATAGTTAATATTGTTCTATAAAATAAACTCACTCCCAAGATGACAAGTTTATGCTACAGCATAATAAAGGATGAAAATAACTTTGGGTTTCACCAAAATTATGTGATATTTTCAATAAACAGAAATAATAATATCTGCATGGTTTAACTTTCCTGATAGAATTATACATTTATTTTCATTAATACTGTAGAAAATGTAAATGGCATTAAAACCCAATTGTCTTCTCATCCTGTAGGATTGTTCCAATTGAAACATAAATATTCCCACAAATGACACATACAACATTTTAATATAAAATAATTTAGACCTTCACCAGGTGAGTTATAGGAGGGAAAAAAACCCAACTATTTCTTACCATCACCTGGAATTTTCAATCAGTTAACTTCCTCCCTCCAATTTTTTTTTAAAATTTTTTTAAAGACAAATGCAAAGAACTGAAGAACTTAGGGATATGTGGCAAGGGAGCTATGGCTGCAGATGTACATTCCACAATGTTCCAGTAACATTGGAATTTTAAAATGATTTTGAATGTTATGTTATTTCTATCCAAAATACAGGTAATTCTCATATCCTAACAATCTCTTGGGAATTGCACTGATGGTGGCAAGAAGCATCCAGTGATTTTTTTTATATATGATCTGAAGCTTCAGATGCTATTGAGCAGCATATAAAACTTCACATGCCAACACAATTCCCAGTTTACTGAGGTAACATCAAAGGGGAAGCATAATGCATACATTGCTTAATGTTATATATAATCAGAAACAATACCAAGATTATTTATGTTATGTTTCAGTCTTTTAATTGGTATACATGCTGTAATCATGAATCATTTCTTGATTGAGAAATATTAAAAATAATAGATTTTTGGATTTAAGTCTTTGCCAAATGAATAAAAAAACATTACCAGATAATGGTCTTTTGGCAGGGTTTTTTTTGTGTCTTACTGTATAGATTTTTGTACCATCATCTTACATCATACTTGCTTCCTCAAATATCACACATGAAGGCAGAGTTTTATTTGACAAAGATCTCTATATGCAGATTATTATATGAATGTAGAAATTATTAGCTGATTAAGATGATGGTTATTGAAGTAATCCGCATTTTAAAAATATTAATATTGTAAAATTGTGAGCAATTGTTATTCAAAATAAAGGTGTGAACATGAAACACAGTATCAAAGCTGCAGGCCAGTAAAGTTAATGTCAGTAAGCCGAAAGCCCAGAGAGAGACCATGATTAACAAGAGTCAGTAGCTGTTAAATCTTCCACCCAATGAAAGATTTGCCATGCAATATACAAACACACCTGCTTGGGAAGCTGCATCGACTGCAGCATCTACTAGGCCTAGGAGAACAGAAAAAAACAAGAAGCAAAGTAATTCACATGCCATCTATAGCTTTCTCAAGCTGAAATACTATATGAGAAAAATGAAGCTGAAGACAGAATATAGAGTTCAGTAAAATGCCCAGTGAATTAAAAAAAATGTCATTGATTTATTAAACACAACTGTTAGATGTTTTTCCACGATTCCATTTATTTTTCTCTAAAATGTTGCGTACAGCTATTCACATAATACTTTTATTGTATATTCAGAACACTATTGAATTAAAAAGTGGCATATCTTCCTGTCATTTTTTTTATCTTCTCTGTTGCTCTGTATCTATCCAATGTATCTACTGTACCTCTTCCATACTTTATGTCTTCCGTCCTCATCATTACCAGTTTGTATATACTTAACATACTCCTTTTATCTTTTGCCATCCTGCACATGACCACCATCCTATCTCTCTGAGACCACATCTATTGCCAGTCTTTCTTCTTCCCAGTGCTTAAACACCTCTCCCCACAAAAGTTTTCCACAACATGTGTGCTCTGAACAAAGTATGTGCTGCACTCTTGGCATGGATTGCCCAACAGTGCCTGATCCATGCAGGGAACTCTCCATGAAAATAAGTATCCATTATCCATTTTGACTAATCTTTCAAAACATTTTCAAAAATCAATTCTATCCATGCATCTTTTTAATTAGTTAAGTGCCATAAACTAGACGAGACCCTGTTAAGATTATGGATAAATGAGTGCCATCTCTAAATATGCTTGATGCTTCAGATCAATTTTAGAAGGTAACAAAGGAGAAGAATGGTTCCTTTCTCAGTTTTACTGATGAAAGCAATTACATTAAAGAACTGCACTAAATCTTGCTAAATATAAAATGAATATGTTATTAATGCCCTTCCATCTATTGTAGCAACCTATACATTATATAAAAACAGAAACAAAATTGAGTGAATGACTCTTTGTTCCCAATAAATGCTGCCTAATAATGTCTGGATCTGAGGCATTCCTCCCCAAGTCACCCCCTGCATCTCATTGATTTTATATCCTGGAGATCTTTTGAAATACCCGAAAACAGCTAACTCAAAAGGCTTAGATCACCCATTAAACACCTATAAAGTTTGTGAAAGTCTATTAGATATTAAATAATAAAACCATACATATTTGGAAGACTCTAAAAAATACATACGTTGTTCTATGGGTCCTGCATCAGCTTTCATAGCATCTTTTTGTCTGAAGAGCAATTCTTTTTCTTCTTGAAGGTGCTGTCTCTCAGCCTCTAGTTCCTGTAATTTGTTACCTGTACGAAGTAGTTCTTGTTCAAGGTGCTCTATTACCTCTGTCTTCTCCTGGATTTGTTTTTCCATAAGTGATTTTTCATCTGCATAAACATCAATAAGATCTATGGAAAAACAGAGATGTCCAAATGAAGCATAATAATTTTTGAGTAAAATATTCCAAAACTTTCTGAAAAAAATATGAATAGCATGGTCACAGCACTATATAATTTTATACCAAAAAACTTTATTCTGCCCGAGTAATAAAAATTGAAATACTATACTGTAATATTAATGCTATATTCAAAGTTGAAACATTCATTTAAAAAAATAGAATTTTTATGGAGATGAGTGTCAATATATGAATCCGATAATATGCTAAAAATATAAAGAACAGTTGCTGGAATTGGGTTTGTCTAGTTTAATGAAGAGAAGGACTAGCAGTAATATGATAGCAGTGTTCCAACATCTCAGGGGCTGCCAGAAACAAGAGGGAGTCAAGCTATTCTCCAAAGCACCTGAAGGCAGGACAAGAAGCAATGGATGGAAATTAATCAAGGAGAGAAGCAACCTAGGAAAAATCTCCTGACAGTTATAACAATAAATCAGTGGAACAGCTTGCCTTTAGAAGTTGAGAATGCTCCAATACTGGAGGTTTTAAGAAAAATTGGACAATCATTTGTCTGAAATGGTATAGGCCCTGCCTTAGCAGTGTGTTGGACTAGAAGACCTCCAAGGTCCTTTCCCCTGTTATTCTGTGTTCTATATTCTGTTACGTATTCTGTATTTAGTCTCCATTGTTAGAACACTGTTATAATGGAAATTTACTCATGCAATATCCTAAAGTTGATAGAATTCCAGATAAGGCATGGTTACTGTTCATTTTTCATTATATGTGAAGTCTAATATGTATATTCCTTATTTGTGAGTAAGTGTTCCTTTAATACATATATTATATGATACAATATAGTGATATCTACACATTTAGAATTTTTAGCTGATTGCAAATTGTACAAGATTATAGTATTAAATGATTATGATAAGAAAATATTCATTGGAAAGATGAACTGATATAAAAGATGTGTGTGTACATGTGTGTAGACAATCCAGTTTTTTCATAGCTGAAGAATGGTTACAGTTAAATCTTATAAAGTTATAGTATGACTTTTTTGTTATCCCTATATTTCACTTCTTACAGTAAGTATGTAACTCATAAAACTTGATCTATCCTGAGAACAACAAAGAACATTTATAGATATATAACAACTAAACAAGCCTAACCATTCAGTTCAGAACTTTTTCTTTATGCTAGTATAAGTGATTTTAACATATGAATTGTTCATTTCTGAAAAAAGTGTCTTGGAAATAATAATATGTACCCATTAATAAAACTTAAGTGGTGTTTATTGTTCAGTTTAATTTTTTTAATAGTTCAAAAATCTAAAGAATCAATAATTTTATGAGAATTGACACATACACATTTGTAGTAAAACTATTATTTATTGCAAACATAATCTGATTACCAGCTAGGCAATATTTCAAAAAGCAATAATAAATATTAGTATGTTTATACTAAATCTAATAAGTTGTGGATGAATGATTAAACAATTATACATTCCCTTGCACACTTCAATATTATCAGTATTGAATTATGTTGAAACATCCATTACTTAATGCTCTCAGCAGAGCATTTACTGATGATAAATTCCCAGATTACGTATATGCAGTAATACAAGGCAGTATTTCAACAAGTCAAATTTCAACAATTCAACATGTTAAATTTATTACTTCACAGTTGAATGCACCACATCACTTCAGTGTTAAACTCTTTCTTGGGAGTTTCTTTTGTTAGTATCAAGAATTGTATACAAGTAGACTTGGTTTTTCATTAAAAAGATCCTCGAAGAATGAAATTACAGAATGTGTGTGTCTGTTTTTGTGCATTTGCATCAAATGCCCCACAATTAATAAGGTAAAATTCCCCAGAATTATTATATAATAAAATATTTCTATACTTTAGAAAAGTAGTCACTGTAATGGATAACACGCATATATAGATATCCGTATATAGAAGGGCAAAGTTTTGGGGGGACACTTTGCAATAATTATATATACAGATAAGTTTGCTATGCTGTTTAGGTTAATATACCTATAAATGTGTTTTAAGAATAGATTGTGAAAAAAATCTTAAACTTTTATTCAGGACAGCTGTTTTAAAAATGCTGAGAAGCATATTTATCTGCTACCTAGTAATTCCTAGAAAATGTTTATCTTCAGATGAAATGCAGATGCAATTCCAAAGAGCTCTTTCTAGAGATTTTATAAAGATAAATGTGTGGCTGTATCAGTGTACTAGTTATAATACAATCCTATTACTGCTTATTTTAAATAATTTACATACAAAGAAATAAAATTTCTGAATATAGAGGACTATTTTTTTCATTATTTTGGGGGGTGGGGTGGGCTGCAGACTTTTTTTTTGTAACTTTATCATATGCAAAATGACAGATGGTTCTTAGCACGTGTGTGAAGCTTTAAAAATGCTTAGGTTACCCAATAGAATAGAGGGTTTCTCCCTTCCCTTCAACTAGAGTCCTGGTAAGAACGTAGCCGAGTTGTGATCAGAAGCGAAGGGGGCAATTGTTTATATACTTTCTAAGGAGTAATTTTGTTTCTTTTTTTTTACAAGGATTGGTACCTGAAAATTAAACTGGAAAAAGCTATAATCAAATTCTCAGGGTAACAGATCTAGACTTCTTAGAATTTAGATACAATAGACCAGTGATGGCGAATCTTTTAGAGGCCGAGTGCCCAAAAACTACCCCCCATCCCTGCTCCGCCCTGCCCACTGAGCCACCCACCATCTCCACGGCCCACCACAGATCACCCAGGCAGTCCAGCAGCATCATGGTGGCCACACCCTCCGCCCGTGCCCCGCAACATCATCTGCGTGCAAACGGGCGCAAGGGTGGAGTCTTGTCCCCGATGCCCGGCTACCATGTCCTTGGCTGCGCTGCTTCGTGTGGGCAGTGCCCAGGGGCGACTCTCCTCCGGGGGGCTGCTGGTGAGGAGGAGGCCGTGGGAGTAGATGGGGCTGGGGAGACGGTGTACCCACAGAGAGGGCTCCGAGTGCCACTTCTGGCACCCATGCCATAGGTTCGCCACCACTGCAATAGACAAATGTCTTACTCAGACAGCACTTTGAAAGAATAGATTTATTCCTTATGTAGGGAAGAAATCTGGATTGTGCTTACTCTGCCCTCAAAAAAATGGGTATGCTTCTGTGCATGCTTCATTTTTGAGTCCTGGATAAAGGAAGCAAGAGGCTAAGAAGATTGGGCAGGCTAATAGGATTAAGGCTGGGTTCCTGATAAGGAAAGGAAAAGAGGAGAGAGGAGGTTCTAGGAAGATGGGCAGATAGGTAGGTCACATGCTATAGTGGCAACTGTTGTATTAAAGAAGAAGAATAAAAAGAACTGGGAATATCGGGTAATGGGTCGGCCAATGAATACAAATTGGAATAGGAGAGGCAGCACTGATTTCTCTACTACATTCTAATTCTATGTAATAAACACTTCTTCATTGACAGAACTGGCAAAAAAGGAACCTACAATAATTCCTAGGGCTGGCACCAAGAATGCTACATTTTAGAGAGTAGCCTTCTTAAATGTCTGAAAAATAAAGAAAAAATGGAGGGATTTTTCATTTAACAGAAAAATAAAGAAAAAAGACAGAGATTTTCCCATTAAATAGAAATTTGGAGTTAATAGACAATGCTGCTCTCAAAAAACACCCCTTAAATCAAGATTTTCTTTACTATATAGAATTACTGTCTTAAAAAATATTTTGTCTTTATATAAAGGTAAAGGTAAAGTTTTCCCCTATCTAATCATGTCTGACTCTAGGGGGCAGTGCTCATCTCTGTTTCTTAGCCAAGGGAGATAGCATTATCAGAGGACATTTCCATGATCCTGGGGCCAGCATGACAATAGACCAAAGGCACATAGAACACTTTTACTTTGTCACCGAAGTGGTACCTATTTACCTATTTGCATTTGAATGCTTTTGAACTGTTCGATGGGCAGGAGGGCAAGTAACAGGAGCTTACCCCACTGTGCGGCACTTGGGTCTCGAACCCAGGCTGTCAGCTTTCCAGCCAACAAACCCACCATCTTAACTGCTGAGCTGCTGCACCCCTCTTGTCTTTATATACTAATAATTGCCAATGCAAGAAAATGCTTTGGGGGCAATTCTACAAATATCAAGATGATAAGGAATAAAGTATACAAACTCAACTACAAAAATATTGTATATTGCATTTTATATTGTGAAATAACAATGTAATATATTAATCTGAATCTAGTGAATAATAATACATATTGTTTTAAAAGGTGAATCTATGGAGATCATCTTTATACTTTAGTATATCCCCATTCAAAGTACTGATCATCTGTCACTCAAATTTTTAAATATATTGATGCATTTCAAATAACTGGGATCATGGACAATTCAGAGAAGTTAGTTAAGAAATGAAGTTGTATTTGAAAACATAAATGGTATGTGTCTGTTTATATTTAAATATTGTTTGAAAAATAGTTAAAAAAATAAGCCTGAGTCCAATAACTTAAATTCATATATTATTTTAAATGGCTCTTAAAAATCACCAATCACCAATAGTATATTAATTGTCAAAGAAATAAAGGTTGAAAATCTAAGTCATATACTGAATAGCATGCTAATGGTCACTCATGTGTTGGATTTCTTCCTGCTTGGGATGTGCAATATGCTCTACATAGGGGTGGTTTTGACAATTATGTGGGAGATACAATGGACCTAGAATTTGACAGTGTGGGTTTTTATGGGCATTACTACAGCACACTCATATTAACACTTTTTTGTGAGTTGCACTGACTTCCTATAGGTTTCTGGCTGCAACTGAAGGTGGTGGTTATTTTCTATCAAGCGGTTCATGGTGCAACACCAGATTATTTGGGAGATATTATGTCTGCTCATTCTATGAGGTTCAACACAGAAAGCATGTTTCAGATCCCTTCCATGCCAACTAATCGAAGCCAGGAAGCATTTTCTACATAATATCAGTCTTTTGGAACAGCATACCGTCCCCAAGATTCAGTTGGATTTACCCTACTGATCTTTTTAAGGCTTTAAAAAAATTGGTTTTTCCCTGAGCATATTGAATGAACCTATCTGTAAAACTGGTTTAAGAGTTTGAATAACTGGTTTAAGAGTTTGTAGTTTTGGTCTTTGTGCCATAAGATATTGCGTTTTGTACCACAGAATATATATGCTGATCTAATGAATCTAGATAATCTATTAGGTACAGTATGTTAAAAAATTTACAAATCTTATGAATATAATTAGCTGACATTCTCTTTATTTCCTCTTTATAATAATATCCTATTATCCTACTATCATTTCTGTATACACTCTCTCTTGAATGATGATTGCTTTTCTTTCTTTGTGATTTAATCAATTTTCTATTCATTTGTAATCTCCTATTCTCAACTGTAAAAAAACCATGAATCATCTATAATTGCCTGAAAATTAAAGTAACTGCTTTATAATTTTGGATTGGGGGAAAGTAACATTGTATAATTATTTAAAGCACTCTATTGCAAACAAATCAATTACTTACTCTCTGCTTTGCTAAGCTCCAGTGCTATCTGCTCTCTAGCTCTGACCTCTTCATCAAACCTTTCTTGCAATTCTTCCTGACATTTGGTTAATTCAGTAGCTTCATGTTCCCATTTAAAGGATTCTTGCATCAATTCTGTTTGTGTAGCTTTTGCATGTTCAAGCTAAAACAGAATTTAAATGTTGAAATTTTTAATGTACATTTTAAAAAGTCCTGCATAAGAACAATGTCAAGTTTGGGAAATTAGCTTGAAAGGAGAAGTTTACTGCCCTCATACATTATAGATAACAAGATAAACAAATATTTGTACAATGAATGACTTTATCACACGTCCATATCCGTGTTCAAGTACCGGATCTTGAGTCTGTCCAATTTACACTGAAAAGAAAACCTTGAGTTATTAATATAAACTTCAGCATGTACCACCCACAGTAATTTTTATTAAATGTTATGACCTAAATTGTTTAAATTGAGAGGGTTGGAAATTATGCAAAACAACTAATTTCATGTCTCAAATAATTCCACTTTTTGATAGTTTTGTGCTTTCCTCACTGATCAGTGAATACTATGTGTAGATTTGAAAGCACTCAATTATTTAACAACTTTCATTAATCAAAGTTGCTAATGAAAAAAAATGTTACAATCAGTGTTTTTCAGGATTTAAAGCTTGTTTGGGTTACTGTTATTCATATTCTATATTTTCCACTTAATGTGGAAATCTATTTAACTAATAGACTTAAATCTGCGATCCATTTAACTAATAGACTTAAAATGATATGTCATGTAAGGATATAATACCTTTATTTCTTAAACCATACATGTGAAAGATCAATATTTCACATTCCTGCAAATGTCTGAAATTCTGCCTCTCTAAACTCAATTATCTATAATATAGTTTTCTTCGATCAATGTATGATAGCAACCTTCTTAAAAATGTGATCCTTTTCTTTATATCTGATTAGTAGGTGAAAAAGTTAGCTCTTTAACAAGAATATGAGAGTACAGGCATTTCCTCTGCTATTCAAATTATAAAATGACAGAACATACTGTACATTGTTTACTTTCCAGAAATAAAACAGCACACACCTATGTTTTTCTAAGTGTGGTTAAAGATGAATAGCTATGTCATACAACATTTGTGACTAAGACTATATGCCTGGATAAATTCTGTGAGTTTATCCAAGAGGAATATTAATAAAGTTAATGTTAATCAATATTTAAATACTAATTAATACTACATGCTAAGAATGAAGACATGATCTGAAAACATGAAACAAATTCTCAAGATCCATAATTAAAATGAAATCAGTAAAACTGGAAGTTACATATTCTCCTTACAATATACAGTTACAGGTCTCAGCTCATCACTGTCAGCACAGTATATCAAAAATCAAATTAAAGTACACATTAAACAATGTTAAGCTTATTTTCCTCAATTCAAATAGCTTAAATGAAAGTTTAAATTATTACTAAGAAGTGTATTAATACACTTAAGGTACTGATATGTATAATAAGAATGTAAATGTGTAATATGTAAATGTAAATATTTAAGATTTATATTCATCAGTTAAAAATGGTCAATATATTATTTTTTTAATATATTTTCCATTGTCAACTGTAATAATGTTACATTGCAGAAATGTTCTTTCATTCAAAATCTTTTGTATATTGAATCTTTAAAATTAATTTTGTAGTTAATTATTAGTTTAATCAGCTATAATTCAGTTACATGAAGCTTGTATAAAAGAGTTAAAGTGATGAACACTAAAATTAGTAGCTTTCTGAAAGACATTATATCAGAAATTCTTTACATCATATAAATCAACAATCTGAGAGAAATCTGATTAAGTACTTCTACAAAATTACATCAAACAGAAAAACATTGTTGGATAACACAAATTTACAGTAACCATAGAAAAGAAAAAAATGATTTCTCTATTTTATCATACTTACTGAATACGGGGGTGTAGGCAAAGAAATTTTTGAAACAATTCTTAATCTATGTCCATTTTTCTTGTGCTTTACATAAAGAAGTGATGTATTGAGAACCACAGAATTATTATCATCCAATTGGTCAGAAAAAGGAAAAGGATAAGGTAAAGGCACACGAGATTCAACTTCTAAAGTATTTTCCTCTTGACTTTTTTCAGACCTTAGACCACTATACATATTTGATGACCAGTATGTACGGTAGGAATCCATTTCATAGTAATCTATTGCAGTTCTTTTTCATCAAATAACTCTCCCTGATATAATAGTTTTAACTGTTCTTGGTGAAATGCAGTTCATTAACTATCTGCCTGTTGCAGAGAGCAAGGAATTATAAGTTCACACTCAGACAAGCAATCCAAAAACACCAGGAAGTTCTAGGTAAACATTCAGTTGAGAAAAAAAAAGCAATGTTTGCAGACCTCAGAGAATTGACATTTCCTCTCATGGAACCAAATAGAAAATGGCATTAAAATAAAAGGAAAACCAAGGAAAGCATTCATCAACATAAAATATTATCTTCATAATTGGATACGATATTCTGTAGCAAGCAGCCAGACCATTAAAAAAAATAATCCTGCAGCACCTGTCAATATTTAAAATTCTCCACTAAAGTAAGCCAATAACATACTAAATTAAGATACTATTTAGTCTTTTTTCCCCTTAAGTTGTAGAAATCAGATAAGCTTCTCTATGCAAAGCAAGAGCTGTGTCTCAATGAGAGGAGAAGGTCAGAACAGTATTGTAGGAGTGGTTAAATTACTTTACTGCAGGTACACAGGGATTTGGAGTTTGAATTAACACACCCACCTCAAACCTTGTTCAACAAGATTCAAACACCAAGGCAGAGTTCATAAATGAATGTTTGAAGGAATTAAAAATCATTGTGATTGCATGATCCATTTCTTAATTGCTTTTTAAAAAAAGTCACACCCAGTAAATAAATCGTTCTAATTAGTATCTCATACTTAAAATAATTTAATTTTACTTAATTTAAACTAAAATTGACAGAAATTAATAAAGAGAAGACTGTAGAGGTGACTGTACTCCTCAATATGTAGATGACACCCAAAAGGTAGTCAAGATGTATTGGCTACCATTGCAGAATGCCGGATAAGGAATAATACACCGACATCATAGGTTCCAACTCAACTTTACCAAAATGTTTCTAACAATAAGGGCAATTCAACATGGAACAAATTCCAAGAGAGATGATAGACTTCCTTCACTAGTTGGGATGCTTTGAATCTGGATTCTTGCCCTGCATAGAGAAATTCTAAACAGATTCTAAACAGACCCTATAAAATTTATTTATTCCATGTGAGTTTTGTGTGTCTAGCAACAATGTTGCTTGTAGAAAGTAAATACATTATCCATATAGCGATTCCTTCGTGGCACAGTAGAAGATAAACAACAGAACAATAATCATTGCATAATACATCTTGTGATAAAGGAATCACAAAATATGAACATAATGGTTAATATTTGATTGATAATCTTTGCTTCCTGACTTGGAAGACAATACAGACTTTAAGATACTGAATAGTCAGAATGGAACTCGATAGAGATAATAGAGCTTTTTCTAGAGCTTTCTAGAAAATGCTTTGGATAGTGAGAGCATTAACCACAATACCTATCTACAATTTTTGAAGCAGCTGTGCTCTTCCTAAGACCTCCAGGGACAGCTGTCATATAATCTTGAAAAAAAAGTTCAGAAGATTTAACATCATGATGTCACATGGGGCTAAAAGACTTGTAATCATAGTAAAAGTCCATGCAAAGAAACTACTCTCAGAAATCCTTTAAAAAAAGGGGAAACATTTTTAAAATGTATGCAGAAATTAAGGAAACAATTTCTTGATTTGTGTATCAAATACATTTTTTTCTTTTCCACTCAGACATTCTTTCAAGGCTATAATTAAACAATGTTACCTGATTAGCTGTTTCATTTATTGTTTGAAGAAGTTTTTCAAATACTGCTTGAAGTCGGGTATTGATATTTAGAATTAGCTCTTCATTTTTTGCATCTATTTCCATGCCAAGGAACTGGGTGAGTTCAAACTCTTCATCTGTGACTTCTGACCACATGATATTGTCTTGACTTTCAAGATCATTGCCAATATACTGAGATGATTGCCTTTCTGTATAACAAAAAAATTAAAAGAAAAAACAATGTCCCACTTTGTTTTTTTTGTTTCTAGCACTAGCAGGATTTTTCTTATACAAATTAATGAATATGATCAAATAAACTGTATAATAAACAGAAATATTTCCACTGAGAATGAAGAACATCAAGCAATAAAATGAATTACATCTTGCAATTAAATTACACAAATGAAGTTAGTTAATTACAAAGCAGACGGCAAATAGAAAAGGAGATACTAACAGAAGAAAAATATTTGAATATCAGCACATTATGAAAACTAATCTAATTGGTTAAATCTATCTATTTACCTATAGGATTATATTTCAAGCATTACCTTTTATTTAGGGATTACAGTTATTTTTCTAGTATAAGCTATTGCACATTGAAAACACAGAGATCATCTGATTGCATTCAAATTCCATTTTGAAAAAACACTAAAATTATTTTTAATAAATAAATTATTTTAAACATTTTAATTCAATAATTGAATACAGATTATTATTATCATTAATGGAAAACAAAGAATTCAATTTGTATTTATGTGAAATGAAAACAATCTGATCATTGAAGATGTTTGATCCTATTAATGAACGATATATGATTCTATCTTCCTTTTCTTAGCATGAATCTTCAAGGATCAAACATCTTTCTTTTGCCAATCATTTTCATCCACCAAAAATATGCTCTAGGAAACTGTTCTAAAGCAGATCCATCTACATCTAAAGTGTCTTGATATTTGTCGATATAGAAACAAGGTTAAATCTCATGCATGTCTATTTATGACTACAGTTAAACTTTCAAATAAATATGAATAGCAAGTTAAAAATTATGTTTGCAGAGTAATATAAATAGTTATTATGTACACAAATATATGAAAATATGTTATCAAACCAGCAACATGAAAATCATTTCATTTAGAAGTAGTATTTTACACAAATGTGACTGCAGTTGAAAATCTTTTAATAATTTTGTTGTGGGTAGGGATTTGCCAAAGTGTTTCCTTCTGAAACATTTTTAACCCAACATTTTCCAAAACATTCCACTGCAAAAGGAAACCTGTTGCCTTAGGTGTAAAATAGGTATTCTGAGATATATATTTTTGGGAAGTGTTTTAAAATGCCAATTTTTGTCCCATCTCATTTTCATTGTCAACCCTTAGATTTCTCAGCAGACAATTAACAGTTAATTTAAAAATGGATTTTAAGGAGTCAACTGCTATCTCTGCCTTATATCTTTTTTTTTAGCTTTTACCAATCATTATTTTTTAAAAATATAGCAATAGCGCTTAGATTTATATACCACTTCACAATGATTTATAGCCCTCTTTAAGCAGTTTACAGAATCAGCATATTGTTCCCAACAATCTGGGTCCTCATTTTACCGACCTCAGAAGGATGGAAGGCTGACTCAACCATGAGCCGGTCTGAATCCAACTCCTAGCAGTCAGCAGAATTAGCCTGCAATACTGCATTCTAACCACTGTGCCACCATGACTCTTCTATATATAAGACATACTGTAAGCATACTGTTGCTTTGAGGTTTTATGTTTAAACTAAGCACCAATTGGGGAAAAAAAGACTTGTTTCCAATGAAAAAGGCACATTGATTAACAAAAAGCAAGTTAAAATACCTGATCTGTCATTAGAATATAATGGAACATCATACTGTCACAACAAATATATGCTTATGGTCATTGACCTAAAAGATGTATAAATGTAGATTTTTTTTCAAACTTCTAAGGACAAATTTTATCAAAGTCCTTAAATATGACTCAGTACAATTCAGTAATCCTTAAAAGGGATAATCAAAAGTGGCCCCTTAATCATTTCTTTTGGAAACCTAACTGGTTCAATAAAAGTCACAAACATTATGATATATTTTAAAGTGGTTGGTCCCACATTTTTAATTACTCTTTATAGAAAATATGAAATATTTTCCTTAATGTTAATTACTGTTATATATCTCCTTTTAGCTTTGTAAAGCTAACAAAAATATTAATTGCAACACTTCATGAAAATAAAACTCATAGTTTTTTATGAATGAAATGAATAACTGGATGAATTTAATCTATGTTCACTTGGTACCTTTTATCTGCACGGGATTTCAAAGCACTTCCATGTCCTGTAGAAATTAAACTCCTAGGCACAATGTGCAATTTCCTCAATGATGTCTGACATGTTCTATTAGCCAATTTACTACGGTATGCAGTGAATTTTTAAAAGGCAATGCTTAAAAATTATTAAACTTAACCATTCTCACTTTGAATAATATGTAATGTATAAATACATCAGGGTCAGAAGATGAAAGAGCTTTAATATCCACAGAGCAGAAAGGACATTTGCAATGGACATCCAGGGTATTGTTTGTCGATGCTATACCAAAACATCGGTTAAAGCTGAGTTGAGGGAAGATCTACCCTCTACTGAGCCATCAACACCACTTACTGATGCAACTGATGCTCTTTGAAGTTCACCCATCTTAAGAACTGACCAGGTAAGAGACCCTGCTCAGCTTCTGATAAATAACAAGTACAGTAAGCAGAGCTACAGAAAAATACAGTCAAATAAAAGGATAAATTAGTTATTGGGTATTCTATACTATAAAGCAAAGAACAATGAGTATTTATAATTAAGGGCAAAACCTGCAATGTGCACTGCACAATATTCATGGTTTAGCTTTGGAATGCACATTCTTGGCACTATTTTTTGTAGCAAAAACAACACACTGAGTTTTTCTTCTCTCTGTAGACTGGAATAATGACAAAAGATTTCCAGGACTTGGTATTTAATATTATGGGTTCTACCCATCCCTGCTTTATGCTATGTTTCCTGAAAACTTTTAATAAAGTAAAATTTGCCTAAAGCAAGGCACTGAATAAGTAGAGAAAAGGATTTTGGGGGCTGTCAATGTAAATGCATTGACAAATGTGCTTGTATATATTTAAAACCTTACTGTTAAGCACAACATTTTTTCTTGCCTTATGTTCTATACAGAGGAAAAACTTTTTGTTCATCTTTTCTATAGATTTCTAATGCACATGATAATCATGGCAGACAAAACATGTAGTAAATAATATCATGGCTTTTACTGGCATTCTTCATTATGTTGCGCAGAATGGTTTCATGAGGCTAAAAGCTCATTCTTCACCGGACAACTTTGTTTTTAAGATCAGAGGTAAATTCTTTTCATTTTGAGTAAGAGAGTTAGATAAAATGTTGATGGCTGTTTTGACCCTATGATAACATTAACAGCACTGCAAAGGAGCAGAAAGGATTTCGTAGAAATGAAATTCTGATGGGAAGAAATTTTGCTCTGTTTTAAGACTTTTAGTACAAATTGACTAGGCTGGCACCAAGCTCCTAACAATGTATATTTCTGTATTAAATGAATTATTGAATGAAAGCAATCCAATAAAGCAAGAGAATTGCATAATGAATCCAATAAAGAGAGAAGCAGAATCTACACATAAAGGTAATAGTCAAGTTCCCATTGAGTAATATTGACTCAAAGTAATTTTGCATTGGATAGCCTACAAATGTGATCTATAAAACTTTTGGCAAATTATGGACAGGCCCTTATAGTTTTGTTAGTGCCACCTACTGGGAGGTTTTTTTCCTGTTAATTCTCTAATGAAGTCAATATCCCAGGTATCTCTTGGGGGTCTTTCAGCAAGTGTTAACCAAATCCAAACTTGCTTAGCTTTTTTGAGATGGTTAAGAATAACTGGCTACCACTATAAATTTAGACTAGCGGCTATTATGTTCTTCCTGAAAACAAAAAAAAAAAATCCTTATCCTTTAAGTTATAGACTATGGTAGTCTAATATTTTTGAAGATTAGAGAAAATCAAAAAAATTGAAATATTTCATTCAGATATTTACATTCATTTATCATACCCTTTAATCTTGATCCTTAGGAGATATTTTCTGTATAGTTTGATATTTTGTGTTGTATGAACTACTTTGGAGTAAGCAATACTATTTCTTTAAAATTCCATAGATTTTAATTATTGAAAAAGATTTATCCCTTTAATTATTGAATCAAAAAATGTATCCTTTTAAAATAATGGAACAAGGGAAAAGCAGGAGAGTTCCAGGACTATGTCTGGTTTTGCTTTATTGAGGATGATAAGGTTTTTGACATAGCACAACATAAATTGTGAACAGCCTTCAAAATCATGGGGGTGCTAGGTCACCTAAATTGCCTGTTGAAGAATGTCTATTCTGGCCAGGGAATAACAGTTACAATTAGGAACTGGAGGAAAAGTAAACCAGAATTTATATTGTCATCATATTTATTTGATATGCAAACATAAAATATTTTATTTAACTTATATGCAGATATATCATTACCAATTCTGGACAAAAATATGCTGATAGCATCACTTTGATTATTGGAAGTTAAGAAGATTTAAAGAGATTCTTGTTCAAGATAACAGAAGAGCTGTCTATGGAGATTCTCAATCATCCAAATCATAGTATCCAAAGGTGCTTTTCCAAAAGGCAACTGGACTTTCTTGCTTCTTCAGGAACTAAAAAAACTTTTTGCATAAGAAGCTAAATGTTTTCAAGGAAAAAAAACGAGGAAAGTCCAGTTGCCTTTTGGAAAAGCACCCTTGGGACATAAAAGAAGAGAGTACGAAAGTTAATCTGTTGCTTAAAATTGCAAGAAATGAAGATTACACCAACAAGCAATGCCAATCCAATGCAAAGATAAAGAAAAAAAAAGTGAAATCGCAGGCTATATGTTCTTAGGCTCAAAAGCTCAGAGAGTGTTGACTTTGGCCAGCAAATAGAAGTCTGTTATGTGGAAGAAAGACAACAGATCTAGACTGAACATTCAAGTGCAGGCAAATCACACTGACAATGAATTCTAGTATACTAGAATTTTCCAGTACTCCTATATAGTTGTGAAAACCAAACCATCAGACAAAGTAAAAAAACAACAACAACACTTCTTCATAAATAGTGAATTGTGGTGCTAGAGAAAATTGTTG